GGCACCAACAAGTAGCGAGTATCCGACTTGCTTCCCCACGCTTGAGTTCTCATCGAGCGTTGACATCAAACCGATGCCGACGGCCCACATCACCCAACCCAGCAGGATGCATTCTCGGTAGCGCCCGACTTTGTGCACCACAAGACCTGCCAAAGTACTGAAGAGCGTCTGTGTCAAAGTGACTGGAAGAAGCATGGCGCCGGATTTTGTTGCCGAGTACCCGTAGGCTAGTTGATAGAAGGCTGGGATGTAGTAAACCTGGACGACGAAGTTCCATCCGTTGATGGCCATGGTGATACATGCGCCATTAACAATCTTCGACTTGAAGATGTGTACTAGAACGCCTGGTGAGTTTCTCTTTCCGTTACAAGCATCGTTCGGGCCGACTTACGGGGAACGAGAGGAAACTTGGCTCCTTTCCATTGCCAAAAGACGAAGCCGACACATACGAAGAATCCTACTATGAGGGTGGCAATGACGTGCGCTGAGTTCCAGGGATAATCACCTCCACCCCACGTCAAGCCGAGCATGAGGACAGTTGTTCCAGCCAAGGCAAGGAAGCTTCCAACGAAGTCTACAGCCTTGAGTTTACTGACAATGATGTAAGTAACAACGCTGAGCGATTGAGATTGCTCTCAGGTTCAAGACCAAACTGCACTCACAGTTTCCAGTTACCCTCCACCTTTCTGAGCGGCATGAAGAAGATGACGCAGACTGTGCAAAGTAGAGTGAGAGGCATGTTCAGACGAAAGATCCATCTCCACGAGTCCTTGGACTGGGAAGCGAGAGCTCCGCCAATGACGGGCCCGATACCGTTTGCAATGGCAACTACGGAGCCCTTGAATGATTGTCAGCAACTGCTGGATAAGGCGAAAGCCATCGTCGCCCGTTTAGGCTTGATGTTGTCATTGGGTCTTGTGACCACACAGGTAGAGGCACACTTACCAGAATGCCTTGGTACTTGCCCCTTTCCCTGAGCGGCACCACATCGCTCACAATCATTTGGGCGACGGTCATCAAGCCGCCGCCTCCTATACCCGTCCATGCTCGGAAGATAATGAGTTGAGTCCCAGTATTTGAGACCGAGCTGGCGAGGGAGCCAGTGAAGAATATCGCCAAGCCAATGAGTAGAATCACCTTCCGCGACCAGATATCCGACAGGCGTCCATAGAGGAGCTGACCGACTGTGGATGTTCTGTTTGGAATCTCTTAGTTTCCTCACCATGTAAAGTACACAATCGTTTGTTGGTACTTACATGAAATAGCCGCTGGCAATCCAAGCTGTCTGATTACTGGCATTGAGAGAATTTCCGATGATGTTGAGACTGGCTGCGAGTGTGGTCTGGTCCATAAGAGCAACCAGATCCACGCTGGCGCAGGCTAGGAAGATCTGAAAAATATTGGTCAGTCGAGAAGTTGCATAGATGTATCTGATCGGTCGGTCAATTTACTGTGATGATGGTCCTGGGACGAACGTAGTTTGTCTGCTCGTTGAACTCATGCGTAGGCTTCTCATCTTCAGAGACATTCGCCAACTCTGGACTGGTGCTTGCTACAGGTTGAATTGGAGTATCCGGAGCAGCTTCAGTGAGGATACCGCTCGTCTTGTCGTTCTGAGTGGCCATATTAAGGATAGAGTGTAAGTCTCGACTTGCTCACGAAGAAGCGAAGAAATTGTGGCTGCGTCTGTCCAGCTCAAAAGACGCGCGAGCAACTAGGCGAGGAAAAAAGCCCCCGGCGTCGGTCGTTCGTAGGATCGGAGACCGAACCCCGGCCATCAGGGTGAATGGCGACATGCCCAAAGTCGCATCGGTGCGTTGTTAAACACGAGAACCCCTGATATGTGTCTCTATACTGCCGAATGCCAAGTTGTGACTACTGCTTGTTTTCAAAACCATCGTGAAGGCAAGTGGCCCGGTGGAAACAAAACCCCTGCGCGGACATCTGACGATCTGACCCCGTCCGACAGGGATGGGCTTGGCAACGAGAACCCTTGTGGATTGGCTGGAATGCTCCCGCGAAACATGCTCAACTTGGGGAAACGAGCTCAAACTAACTCCCCCAAAACTTCGCAATTGAGCTCTCTTTATATATCGTCGAAGCGCAACGGTTTTGGATCCATTCATCACGGCACCTTTGAGCCGGATTGCGACTCTACTTGGTTGTTTCTAGGGGTCTGCTGTTACGGCCCAGGAGGAGGATCGGCACGATGTCGTTACGTATGCCCTTGCAGGACGCAAAAAGACGCCTGTCTCACAAGGTACTTCGATGACAGACATGCCCAGCGTCAGCAAACGTGAATAACCTTGATGACTCGTGTCGATCGGCTTTCTTTAGTGTGGTGTCGACCAATGTCGACAGGGGCATCACATTAGTCCAGGCTCCGGAGGTTGTCGACATCCGTCACTCATTGGAGAATGATCGGGGATGTGGGATGAAAACGAGCAGAAAAGATGCCAAAAACCACTGACAGGCCGAGTTTCATGCAACCTGATTTCATGGTTGCCCTCTAATAATGTCACAGCAGAGTTACATTGCCAGATGATGGTCCACTGACCGCGGGTATATGCGGCGTGTGAGAGCGGTCATGTCTGTGAGGATGGCCAACTGATGCTATCGAATCATAGCTTGAGCTGTATAACTGCGTTATTTCTCTCTCTCCTAGACACCTCGGAAAGATGGGTATTTCGAAAGCAATAGAGATTATAAAAGAGCACTCGCAGTCTCTGAAAACAACATCATCTGATAATCAGCACCATTCGATATCACTCTTCTTTGTTTTACAAGCACCCTCAGTCGTCTGAAGTAGCACTGAATCGCAATGGCTCAACCTAACCACCTCAATGTCTACACGGGGCCAGATTCAGTCAGGAATTACTTCGACCCTGATGTTGCCCCGCCGTTGCCACTGGTCGAGGTACCCGAAGCCTTGAACCCCTATCGCCAACATGGCGTCCGCATATACGCCAAGATGATGTCGATGCATCCTGCGAACAACGTCAAGGCCATGCCAGCGCTTAATCTGCTTCAAAATGGGGTTGTTCCGGGAAAGACAGAGACCATCGTCGAGTATAGCTCTGGCTCAACAGTTATCTCCATGTCACTGGCTTCTCGAGTTTATTACGGCGTACCCGACGTTCGAGCATTTCTCAGCAACAAGACAAGTCAAGCCAAGTTGAGATTGATGCAATTCTTTGGTCTGGACATGTAAGACAATTGCACTTCTCATGACTTCTTGAAGAACTCTCGGATAGTATAGCTGACCACTTACTGACCAGTACCCTCTTCGGAGGCCCTTCTCAACCTGAGCCTCTAGACCCACGAGGTGGTATTTGCGCCGCAAGAAACATGGGCAGCGACAAGGGCACGGCACTCAACCCGAACCAATACGAAAATGACGATGTAGGTGAAGTTCGTGGTTCATCTATGGTGAGCAGGCGCTCACAAAGTCTCGTAGAACTGGAAGTCCCACGTACGGTGGACTGGACCCCAAATCTTCAAGCAATTGCCTCAAATCTCTCTCATTTGCGCAGGAATGGGTACTTCTGGTAGGATTGATGCCAACTCCGTATTGTCGTCAGCGACTAACATACCAATAGGGACTCTCACAGGTCTTGGAACATACTTCAAGCAAGCTAAGCCGTCGGTATACAGGCTGGGTGTCTGCACCGCACCTGGTGACCGTGTTCCTGGCCCTCGTTCCTACGCTCTTCTTCAACCCGTCGAGTTTCCCTGGAGATCTGCAGTCGACCATGTCGAGCATGTCGGCTCTCAACACTCATATTCTCTCTCGTTGGACCTGTGCAGGCAAGGTCTCATCGCCGGCCCGTCCTCTGGTTTCAACCTGCAAGGCCTTTACCAGTTCCTTAACAAGCGCATCGCGGCAGATAGTCTAAACGAACTAGCCGACGAGTCTGGAGAGATCCACTGTGTCTTTGTCTGCTGCGACTTGCCTTACCAGTACATCGATGAGTACTTTGCGAAATTGGGACCTGAGCACTTCCCTGCAATCCACAATGAGGTATGCACAGGCGTACTGTAGAGTTTCTCCAGCATCCTTACACAGAAGACTGACTTTGCTCTTAGAACCTCACAAAGGTTGACCTTCACCGCTATGATGAGGCATGGGAAAAGACTGCAACGGAAGTCTTCATGCAAATACCGTCCGCGAGCGTTATTCAGACCAACGATGCTCATTTGCCGAGCACGCCACGCTACGTCGACACCAGCAGCGCTGCTCTTATCTCCCGTCTTCCAAACACAATCATCGTCGATCTGAGACAACGCGAAGACTACCAGACGCACCACATCGCAGGTTCTGAGAACATTCCAGTCGTCGAGTCTAGTGACTGGAAGCCGTTTTCTGACTCAAAGATTCTCGAAAAGCTATGGCTCGAGCTGGAGGCGACATTTGACTCGAACCAAGACGTCGGCAAACAGCTGGAAGAATATCGACAAAAGCCTATCCTAGTTTTGTGCTACGACGGCGACAGCGCTAGAGTCGCCACCAGTGTCCTGCGTGCAAAGGGCTTCGAGGCCGACAGCGTTCGAGGAGGCTTCCGTGCTTTGGAAGAGCTGGAGAGAACTACCACGCCTACCTCGGCGGCTTGTTCTAAAGACATGCCCGTCACTTCGAGTGTTGAAGAGTTAGTTGGCCATCGCCAGCCGTACCTTCAGCTGGTGTGAGGGGGAGAGGCGTAGTATTCAATTACTATTACCCTGACGAAGATACGAAATGATGGCCATAAATACTTGCATGAACACAGATCGAGGGGCTTAATCGGGGAAAGGGTATAATTCTTGAGCATTAGCATTTTGATTCTAAACATCAAAACCCTGACACGAACCAATCTGCTCTGGTATGTGCTTCAATGAACAGTGAAACCCGAGTCTCGCAATATTTCCGCCCCACGCTGGTCGTGCGCAATTCGTGAAGTTCCTTCTCCATTTGATCATAATTATCAGGACTACTAGTACAGTCCGCAAGAAGACAAAGCTTTTTAAGAAACAGCCACGGGCCAATCGTTATATTTTTGACTTGGTTTCTCGAACGGTCCATAATGGACATTAGTGCCTCGGTCGTTCTCTGCAAATGGAATGCCATGTTGGATTCGAAAGATCACATCCTGGAGTGAATCAGAAAGAATATTCGAATACACACTGAATGTGACACTCACTGGGTTGTAAATGAAAGGCCGGCCGAATGTGATCAAATCCAACTTGCCATCACGGACTAGACGGTCTGCTTCGTCAACCGTATAATCGTAGTTGGCCATAAGCTTCGAAGGACTATTAGGAAACTTGACTAAAGGTCCGAAGTCCATGACCGGATCATGACCCAAGGGTAGAGGAAATTCACCCGGCCTCGTAGTGTTCCCGAAGAAGTCTCCTGTTCCGGTATTGTGGTTTGCGCCGCGTCGAGAAAGGTTGATGATGCCAACCCGCCTTTTGACAAGCTCTTCGATGAGATATGTGTAGATATCCTGCATTTCTTCAAAAGTGACCACAGAGTCGTTTGTCTGATCCGTGGGACAGATTTTGATACATACGAACTCGGAACCGAAAACTTCGGCCAAGGCATCGGACACCTCCAGGATGAATCGGCACCGGTTCTCAACCGAGCCACCATACGAATCGGTGCGGATGTTCGCGCGCCTTTAGACATGTCAGAGTCGAATGGCCATGAGAAGTAGTGATAATGGGAACTCACGAGTTGAGGAATTGTTGAGAGAGATATCCACTGCGTCCGTGTCAGTGACGAGCACCATATTCAATGACTACGCCGACGCTTACCCTTGAGCTAAAAGCTCGATACCATCGAAACCTGCCTTTCTAGCGAGAATGGCAGAACGTCTATACATGTTGACGAAATCACGCGGATCTTTGATTTCGGTGATATGATGAGTATGTCCCTGGATCGGATTAGCATGTGTCAACGGCACCTGCTAAAGTCTCGTAAAGCTCGTACCGGAGTGCCAGGAAGATCACGGTATTTCCCCCCCTGGGCCGGAATCTTGGAGGGTGCAACTACCGAATGATTCTTTTCTTGCATAATTGGAATCTAGTCATCTTGGCAGCGGCCTAAACAGTCCAAGGTTAGAAACTTCAAGTCCCTACGACTCATATGGGCTCACTTACCAAGATGCCATGGCTGAAAATAGATCTTCTGACCCTGTGCATGTACAGCCGCCGTGACCTTCTCCCATGCTTGTGCATGGTCCTCGGTGATCATGAGAGGTGCCCACTTCCAGCCACAGCCTTGCCAGTCAATGAAAGTGCCTTCTGCGATGATAAGTCCTGCGCCGTCTTTCGCGCGTTGCGAATAGTGCTGGATTTGTTCACTCCCGGGCTTGCAATCATTCACCCGTCGATTGCGTGTCATTGAGCCCATAAACACACGATTAGATAAGCTGAGTTGCTTACCGACAACAAGGGGTTGAAGAAGACTTGACATGCTTGCGTCTGCGGAGCTTAAAAGGAGAAAATGGAGTTACTAACTAAAGAGTTCTACGGCAATCGTTGGAATCTACCAAGGACCAGATGAGACTTCGTGCTTATATCCATGAAGCAGCCTTAATGGAGCAAAACATTGAGATAAGTTTGCATCATGCATGTACTTGACTGACGTATGAGTTTGTTGAGTGAAAGGCGTCGGATCGGCGGCAGGGCGCTAGTCAGATAAAGGGCGCGGGTCCTCAGATGATGATCACCCAGCTCGACAGGACGCGCGACTGGACATTAAAAAACTACGAGAACGTAAGACTCCGACATCATTCTTCAAAATCAGCGGATGAAAGCCCATCATTCACGAGCGAAATGAATCGCCCCCTCAAGGCCTCAATAACACTCATGGTCCAAGATGTGAATGAACCTGTCACAAAGGTCCCCTCCAACCTGGATTGATTGGAGGGCATCATGTCGCGCGCAGTGATAGCCTGTTAAACCTAAAGACCCTTAGAATCGGATAGTGTGGAGGAAACAAAGTAGCAGTATCTACTTAGCACTTAATTAAATACTTCTACAACGTATCTGCTCTTCGTAGCCATACCGAAGAACTTCTGGACATCGTCTGCTGCATATGCCTCTTTCCCTGTACCATCGCCACCCTTGTGTAGGGCGGGGCCGAGGACATCAAACACAGAATCTGAGACCTTCTTTCCACCACAGACATAAATGTTTGCTCCTACTTCCCATAGATCGGAGACTTCTTGCAGATGGTTTCGAAGTTGATCAGTGACATGCTTGCAGGACGCATCTCCCTCGCGACTAAAGGCACGGAAGACCTTGACAACATTCTCAGCCTCGAAAGCATCGAGTTCATCTCGGTACATGTCATCGAGAAGTTGACCATGGCAGCCAAAGAACAGAAGTGCCGGCGCCAAGGTGGCACCTGATCGTAGTGAGATTGCACGCTCTTGTAAGAAGCCCCTGAAAGGAGCTAGACCAGCCCCGGCAGCAATCATGATGATTGGCGTTGTTGCTTGAGTCGCTGCACTTGGAAGGCAGAAGTGAGATGTTGACGGCAATGGTGAAACAAAGAGCACACTTCCTGGACAGAGCGAAGCCAAATAATTCGACGCAATACCCTTCTTCTCAACAGTGTAAGTAAGAGTGGCAGAGTTGGAGTGCCAAGCTGGCGAAGAAGAGAAGGAGTATGTTCGGGGACGCATCTGAGGTAGCAGGATTAGGAATTCCGAAAGCGGGAGGTTGAGATCTGGGTAAGACTCCAGTACTTCAAGGACACTGAGGCCCGTGTTGCGCGACTCCGAGCAAAGCAGGCGTTTCGACATGGCCTCTAAGACCCTGCGGGTCTCGTCTGAGACTGCTAGCTCACTCATAACCTGAATGTTTCCAGGAGTTGCGGTGCCTGTCAACTCGACATAGGATGCAAATAGGTCCCACGCCGTAATAGGAGTATTGCTTGGAACCGGGAGTGGGCGTCCAGATTCAGACTTAATGGTGAGGACAACGTCGCTGCTCAACCTGAAATATGACAGAGTTCGGCGCACTAGCTGTGCATCATTCACCGGCAAGATTTGGACGTGGCCACCTGCTTCATAAACTGTCCCAGGTGGGAGCTCCAGCTCAATATGTCTTTTTGCTGGGACCCCCTCGCCCGACAATACTCGAATGTCCTTGACGGTGGCTGCAACAAAGCCACTGCGCAACACAACTCGTGGAGGATCTTCGAGCGTGAGCTCCACACCAACATCCGACTTGGACCTGCTGGCTTTCATGGCAGGGTCTCCCAGGAGTATTGGCCACAAGTCGTTCGTCAGCCACTTCTCAACTTCGAAAAAGACATCGGTCGCTGCCGTGTCTGCGGCGCCCAGGGTGCACAGCCTCTGGCCTCCAGCTGTTTCCAACATTGAATCAAGCGACCTTGGAACCTTGAATAAGGTGGCTGGCCAATCTCTGTGACCTGTGATACTTGTCGTCAGTGCGTGTCTGAATGCGAGGCTACCAACGCGTTTCTTCAGGGACTTGCGGTAATCAGAACATACCACAACCAAAAACGGCATATTTCAAATGCTGTAAGTCTCCGGGCTTGAGATCTTGAATCCAGGGCACGAACTTGGCTGCGTTGCGAGACGGTAGACCATTATAGGAGGCAGCGACGATAATGACAGGCTGATCTCTTGGTAGACGATCAACTGCATCGTTCATAGGCAATATTTTTGGACTGTATTCCTTTGCCCCAGCATCAACGGCAATTTTCTGAGCCACTGCCTCGCAGGTTCCTGTATCTGAACCAAACAGAATGGTAATTGGGCGAAGTACCAAGGACTTGACCAATGTCGAACAGACCGTCGACTTTGGGATAGACTCTGGAACAGCCTTCAGACTTTTGAGAAAGTCCGTCGGGCGTTTGTCATTCCTCAAGCTGACACGAACTTTGAAGCCCGCGGGCTTGATGGTGAGTAGATGTTTCACCTTGAGCTTATAATCCGGGTCGCTTTTCGAAAGATCAAAGTTGCGTAAAATCATTGAAATGACCTATGACGGCAGTAAGTTATTGGAAGCATGAGGGTTAACACAGAAATAACGGGGCTACGCACAAGTTGGGCTTCCTGCCAAGCGAACGCCCGGCCAATGCAACCACGCATACCGTTTCCGAAGGGTTTCCAAGCGTTTGGAGGAATATCTTCGAGGTTTTTCATCCTATCAGGCCTAAAACTTTCTGCATCGGAACCCCAAACTTTGGGATCACGGTGTAGTGTGTGCAGAAGAACACACAAAGCCTCACCGGGCTTAACAAGATACTTGTTCCCAATGATCTCGTTCCTGAATGGGGTAACATAGTAGCCCGGCGCAGTAGGCATAAGCCGCAACGTCTCTCGTAAGACGGAGTCCAGAAAGGGGAGTTGCTGTAGATGGTGTACGTTGATTGGGCCATCACCGACCACTCTGTTCACCTCCTCTCGTGCCTTCTTCAACTCCTCAGGATGCTCTACTAAGTAGTAAATGGCGAAAGATAAAAGACCAGAAGTAGTCTCGTGACCGGCTACAAGAAAAGTGATGATGTTGTGCACGATTGCCTCTTCGTTCAGAGAGTCACCAGTGTCCGGGTCTTTGCCATTGAGCATAGCATCGAGGAGGTCATGAGGCATTCTTTGGCCGTCGGCTTGACGTCTTTGAGCAATAATCTCGCGACAAGTAGCCTGCATCTGCTTTATGTTATTCCGGAACTTGGACATTGCTCTGGGCCGAAGTAGACTGAAAACGTTGGGGAGAACAGCTTGCAGATCCGCTTCAGCGAGGACGTTCACCATGCTCTCTACGAACGGATGAGCCTTCTTGTCGAGATAGAAGCTATTGAAGCGATAATCCATGGCACAGAGAGATATGGTGTCCAACGTTAGCCGGGTAAAGTCATCAGCTACCTCAATAGGCGCAGAATGACAGTGTCGGGCCCTTTTGCCTGTCAGTCAGATATGCGGGAGCTGTCCGGACGCCGCATGATGAGTTACTCACCATTTGAGACATAGCTGCTCAGAAAGATCGTTCATATCATCGAACATGCTGCGGATCTTCAAGGGTCCAAATACTGGCATGAGGATGCGGTGTGCCACGCCCCAGGTATGATTGTTATGCTGCGCTGTGAAGAGTCCATCGCCGGCTGCTGCTCGCATCGTCTCAACGCCGCTCGTAACGATTTTGCAAAATCTGCTCTCATCGCTGAGTTCATCAACGAGCTCGCGGCTTGAGACAATTATCTCCCTTGTGCCGGCAAAGGCCAGAGAGAAAATGGGGCCTGGGACATTAGCATCGAAAACCTGCACACGTGTGTTAGAGGAAAGAAATGCGAAACGCCAAGAGCTTACCGTATTTGCTAACAAGCCCAATAAGGGAGTCTAGAGGGCTGACGAGATCGATGTTCAAGATGTTGCCGAGGATAGGCAGTGCTAAGACGTGTTCAACAATGTGCCCCTTGATTCAGGTGGCAAAAAAATGGCTATTCTAGACAACATACGTTTGGGTCCGGGGATAGGGACTGGAATACTAAGAGGAATTTTAGTTGACTCGCCATCGATTCTCATGTCCATGGTCCTGAACCAGATGAATTTTGATCACTGAGCTTATGATATGCGACAGAGTGGCTTCTAGAATGTCATGTCATGGGGAGGCTGGACGAATGCTTGACTTGAGATGGTCTTAAGACAAAATATCTCCAGTACCCGTGTTTTTGAGAAGAAATTTAAGGATAATGCAGAGACTTTGCACCAAGACTTCAGTGACAGCTTCGTCAGGGGACGCGCAGTCTAGCTTCGAAAGCTACGTTCCGACGGAACTTAGTGTGCCGATTGTCGGTCTCTCTAGATGCAATTGTTGCATTGCGCGAAATATTTCTCAAGATCGAGGCAAAACAAAGTTTTTGATGACGGAGCGAAAGGACAATAGACCCCATCAACTTCGGCAGTTGCGATTGTTGATGGTTTCTTTAGACCCACGAGGGATTTTCGCCAAGGACGTTGAGACCTCCAAGCTTTCAGGTGTCTGAGGATACATGCGACTTTGACAGAACCACTTACAACATCCGCCATGAGGATATGCCATCAGAAGGGTTGTTTCCCCGAAGGGGGCTTGGAGCCGTGGCCGAATATCACGACAAGTCAAGCCGTAAGTTACCTTGGGGAAAGAACGCATGTCGCATCTCGTACAGCACCAGGCTCCACTGGCAGTCAGTATTACGATAGGCCATGCCAATAGTAATATGACCACTAAAGTCAAGATGAGGTATCTTTAAAGACAAATTTCTCATGTGAAAGGTATTTCTTCATTCCCGTAGAATGACTGTTTACAACGAGGAGGCCTCCGAATACACAAAAGAAGACCTGCCAGGGCGACCGCAGAGAGAACTGATGTCAAAGCTCCAAAGACATTGGAGATTAATACCGCATTGCATATACGTATAACTGCCTTGCCTTCTACCCCAGACAGGAAAGCCGACAAGGAGTTGACCGGCGAATTGGGGGTCATGCTAAAATCAGAAAAGCTTACTGCTCCCCATAAATAAGTAGTGGCAAGCGCCCGTCCCCCAAATCCGCAACTGACTAGACCGCCAAGACAAATCCCTCATACATAACTTGCCCAGATGCCCCCGTTGTACATGTGTGAAGTCTCAAGAGCTCGCGATACCTTCCCTCGAACAATTATTCTTGAGCAGCTCATTTATGAGCAACCGCACTATGCCAAACAAGTCTCGCCTTGCGGGCGCACTCCGTAGGTAGCATGCGGCACTGCACGATCTTCACAAATGTGTCAGAAATCGCTCACACGACATCCACAATCACGGCAACAGGGCCACGAAGGAAAAGAGGTCAGTATTGGGAAGAGAAACCGAGAAATCTGAAGACATGGCGCTTAGGAATTGCACGTGAACCCAGGTGACCAACTTCGTGTGTCCGATGATGATGGATCCTGTGCCCTTTCGCTCGCTTCTTCGAGTACCGAGTATCGTCGAGAAGTGCCGCGTTCCACTCCTTCGAACATGTTGTAGGCGTCTTGCAGGCAGGCTCACGATAATTAGAAAAGGCTCTCTGTGTCCCTGATGGCAGTATGCAGCCGACACTCTAATCACCTGTCTCGTCCCAATCGATCCTGCCTTTCGATACATCCCCTCTCTTCCAAGCATACATTACTTACTCTCTACGTTCTTCGGCGGGCAGACGGAATATCTTGGGGCAAGAGATGGATGATATTAAAAGCGCTGTTGTCTCGATCTCAGCTGTCTCCGAGATTCCGGAACGCAAGCGTACTTTTTCAAGTCTCTCGACTATTACCACATCATCTCTCGCCACCACCAAGACACGTCAACCTCCCCGTGTAAGAAGCACTGAGAAGGTCCGCGAGCTAGTGCGACTGGCAATAACAAGACTCCGAGTCCTTTTGAGCGAGAGCAAGGGTACGCGCAGGCCGATCTCAGAGAAGGGCCTGTTCTCCTACAACTATGTCGAGCCCCTTTTCAACTGGTGGGGCGCAAACGACCGTGTTCTCACCACACAATGTCTCGGCCGAGTTGAAGCCTCCGATGCTCTGGGTTCCGTGACGAAGCTTGTCAACGGGGCTTCTCACAACTATGCTGGCTTTTATAAGGCTACTGATCAGGCTGAAGAGTTGCACCGACTCTGCTTGGAAGCACTGCCGGTGTCTGACACCCAGGCTGTTCCCCTTCTCCGAGACGAAACACATCATGCAATCGCAGACTTCTTTGGAGCGGACTTTTGCTTCACCACCAGTACTGGGTATGGGTCTAACTACATCGCGCTGCCAGCGTTGATAGATTGCTCTACTGTGGTCATCATGGATGAGAACTGCCACAACTCGATGTTCACTGGCGTGTTTCTAGCTTCCTCGGCAAACCTGCGAAAGTTCAAACACAACAACATGGAGCATCTCGAGACTTTACTCAGCGGGTGTATCGATGAGTCCATCAACGTCATCGTGGCCATCGAAGGTCTTTACAGGTTTGTTAAAACGGCTTTCGCGTGTCAAGGGTTTATCAGCCACTGATTTGAGCCATCACAGTATGGAAGCCGATGTGCCCCCCCTAGATCTCATTCATCGGCTGAAGAAGGACTACGACTTCACTCTTTATTGCGACGAGGCGCACTCTTTCCTCTCTCTTGGAAAGACGGGTCGCGGATGTCTCGAATACTGGAACGACCACCACCCAGAGAGCCCCTTGCCCTGGGACCTAATCGATATTCGCACCGGCACACTCTCCAAAGCTGTCGGTGGTATTGGTGGTATTATCGTCGGCAAGTCCGTTTTCAAGGACAACATCAGAGAGCGCATCGATGGCCTTGACGAACAGGACAATGTCTCCTTGCCTAGCTCGACCATGGTTCAGACGTTATGGGTACTCGGTCAACCACGTCAAATCAGCCGCAACCTCCAACGACTTGCCGAAATCGCGCGATTCTGTCGCGAAGAGTTGGAACGCTTTGGCATATTCGTTTATGGTGACGTCGGTACGCCAGTTCTACCGGTCTACACCGGCAGACCCAGCGTTTCTGCGAAGCTGTCTTACGCCCTGAGATGCGCCGGACTACTTGCGACACCAGTTTGCACTCCAGCAGTGCCATTTTGGGAGAGCAGAGTTCGTATTAACCTTTCGGCGGACTTTACAGACGAGGAGGTGAATAAACTTGTTCATGCTGTTATCTGCGCTGCAGGAAACGTGGGCATGGGAAGGATGAGAAGGATTTCTCGTTCCTCTTTCATGACCGACGCAGAAGTTCTCGCTGGGGATGAGGGCTGTAACGAGGCTTCGAAGGTCTTTGACTGGGTACGCAGCTTGGTCAAGATGGATGCTGCCATGGGCCCGCACAGCAATCAGAAACAGCTTTTTGATGGTACTTGTGGTCCTCGGATCCTCGACATAGGTCATGGATCTCGTGCTCAGTATGGCATTGGAGCCGGCGGTGCCAGATGGATTTGTGGCACGTTTCCTCCACATCTTGTAGTTGAAGACCTAATTGCTCGTGCCACGGGTATGGAGGCCGCCTTGACATATGCAGACGCTTCTATAGGGTTGGCTTCCACCATCGCAGCTCTTTCACGCCCTCTAATAGGACACACGAAGCATTTCATGTTGTTTGAACGAGGCGCGTCTCAGTTTGTTCGCGATGGTCTTGCAATGGCATCGAAGAAAGATACCCCTACTCTGCTAGGATACATTGACCTCTTTCAACTGGTCCAACAGGTCAGAAAGCTCTATCGGAAAAACGCGAAGTTGTGTCTGACGGTATACGTCCGCGTTGGAGAGGACTCGGCTCATCACTTGCTTTCCTCTATCCTAGAAGAGATTGCTGCCATCACAGGTCCGGAGTCGGTTATGACCATCCTCCTCCATTGCACATCTCAATACTTGGATCCCAGACAACTTATCTCTTTCCCCTCCTGTGAGAATATCCACGTCTTGGTCTGCGGCTCTTTCAATCGCATCTTTGGCCTGCCAGCAGGATTTCTCACCGGACCACAGAGCTTAATTCGAGAGCTCCGATACACGAGTAGGGGCTATATGTTCACTACTTCCCCACCGCCATTCGTCATGGATATGTTGCGGAGTGCTCTTGAGTGGAATCTTTGAGTAGGGGCTCTGGAAGAGGCTTGAGCATGCGCACTCGTGCCGTAAGATAGTAGGTCGGAAAATTGCATCACTACTAGTATGCCACTCTAAATTCTAAGATCATGCATCTGTCTCTCGTGATTTCTTGCATCATGTACAGAGTCAATCAACTCACACTTACTCGCCCATGGCATGTTGAGTTGGTTTCGGGAAAGCAACAGGCCGTTTGATGTGAGTCCGTGAATTTTCTGAGTCTTCTCAAAGAGTTTGGAAAACCACTTACAGGCGAAAGGCCACTGCCACTCAAGAAAACTTGTAGTCCAATCGCCCCAAAGCTCGAATCAGACCAACTTGAGAAGTTTACCTCAAATGCTGTACGAATATAGACATGATAGCCAAATAATTGAGCCAAACTATCGCTCAAGCCACACCCAGCTTGGTTTAATACGGCAATCGCCACATGGAAGCTACATCTAGCCAAGTTCGATCGCCCAAGGCATTTCAGTGTGTGGGATTGGACTGAGTTTTCTGAAGGCTGTCGGAGTTTCAGGTACCCTTCATCAAGAAACCGGGGATCTGTGTTCCGCAGATTCTTTTCCAGACTTGAGTAAATCTTACGTCGACTCCTTAACTCGAGAAAGCAGAATTGTTCCCTGGCAAACTTCGAAAGGGATGTATTCAAACATGCCTGATCGTTTGGCAAGATAAGTTTGCTGTTTGTCTGCCAATGGAGGAAGGCACTTGGGCGATCAACTGTGGCGCACTACTGCAGTTTCCAGGAAGAAAGCTTAGCAAAGCTTAGCAGAATGTGAGAAGCGTTGAGAGAATTGGAAAATTCGTCAGGAAGTCTATGAGTGCCACGGAAATTGACCAAACAGAGAATAAATCAGAGCCTACTTAGCTGCAACCTCATGATGATTCGTGACCACTCCATAATACGTCTTGGCCTGGAAAAAAAAGTCTCGGCCGATCGCTTTGCCGGGGCTGTTTGCGTTGACAAATCTAGAACCCCTGATCCTAGGCATTCGCTAGAAAGGTAAAATGACACCAACTTGGCGCGGTCCAAGTGGCGGGGTTCTAGGCGGGGACTACGGGGATTTCAAGGACTCAAACAAGGGCTAAGAAGTGTTTAAAATGATTGGGGCGTGGCATTGGATGAGGTCAATTGACTGACAAGGGGATAGCAACTCAGACTCGTTCATGACATCGGCGACGCGTACGTGGAGGCTGGAACTCTGCCTGGCTTTACGGGAGTCAAATGACAGCAAAGCATGAGACGCATATCTGGCAGAACTCTGAGCTCGATTTGGCAGGTCGACCCTTTTCTCTGGGATAATCTGAGGGTGACGGCTGTTGAACAGAACGTAAGTATCGTTCTCAGTGCTATGGGCTGTAGAAATTGAGCGAGCAAACGCTGTACATGAGTCTAGACAGCGTGCTAGCCAACGGAAATCTCGGACTCGTGAACCGACGGCGAATAGCGTGTGGTTCCGAGCTTTGTTACGAAATAAGCATACAATTAGAGCACATTCGATAGCACTTCACTACTACCCGCCGACAGGGCAGATCAAACGCCGAAGTCATCGTGCAGCAGAGTGTGGTCGGCAATCGGTTGGAGGATTCTCCATTGAGCTCCAAGGCGGGATCGCACTTCGATGATCGACGGCTTCCCGTCTCCTGTACCACCCCGTCGGGATCGTCGGTAGGCCATAACTCGCTATCGTTAACTGTCTGCGGAAAGTTACGATCAAATCGGAGACCGCGTGGGATGCCCGCCCGCCAACTTGTCGCGCATCGACCTCTTCCAGACCGCTGACGATCACCCGTTAAGCTCTGGGCTATGCAAGCTATGTCGGCCAGAGGGACCCTGTGAAGACTAGCGTGGTGTTTCTAGAATCGTCGGCCACCTGCCGCGTATGACTACTGTATGCTCCGAGCGAAGGAGGTAAACGTTTCGCCCACTGGGCCGAACTTTCCGCCTCGTTCACTCTAACCCCATCTTGTCTCCCTCACTCTCTTGGAAGACATGTGCTGCGCGCAGCCCGTTGGTATGTGCCAGCCCTACATGCCAAGCCTTAATTCAGTTTCGTTTCCCATCTGTCGGCGGGAGTCATGCACGGTCGTCGGCCGGCATCTTGCTTGAGTCGCGAGCCTCCACGTCGTAGTCGTCACCTTATACTACGGAGCTAACTGTGCTGGTCCATAATGTAGCTGTGCTTGGAGGAAAAGCTCAACCCCTCTCCCACGGGCACTTGCTTTCTGGTTAGCCATGAGCAACTCCAAGGGCCTCATCCGAACTTGCTACTGGCAGACTGGCAACTCACGAACGACAACAGTCCGAGCGAGGCGTGATGTTGTATGCACCCGAGCGTCCCGTCGGCCTGCCCAACGCCCAGCTCCCTCGAGGGTGGAAACTTTCGTCGTCGCTTTCGTAGCTCGCAACAAGTGGGAGAATATGGTTACCGCCGATGGCATGCGGCCGAAATGGTAATGGCGTGGCCGACACGATGCCGAAGTTTGTCGGTCAAGGCCACTCTGGTTGTGCATGATAGCGGCGAACGTAGTCTGCCTAGTCGAAAGACTAAACGGGGAGGTTGAGATGTGTCGGTCTCGGCATCAGTGGTTTAGACTTAGAACGGAAGTACATAAGGATGGAGTATTTCCACCATCACCACCAATCTTTGATCAGCAGCCCCAATAACCAAGCTCATCTCACCAAAGACACCCTCGCCTAAGACCATCTCCGCATCTCTTCCCATAACGTCTTCTACACTTTGTCTAAAGCATTTCAGCTCACAACTTTATTTCAATATGGTCGCCATCAAGAACCTCTTCATCGCCACCCTCGTCTCCAGTGTTATCGCTACACCACTCTTGAGCGGTCGCAACATCCCAGACGTTGATATCGACTCAGTTGCTCCCATCGAGACTCGGGGTGAAGCTGCCAAGAATGTGAACGCTGCTGCCACTTACGGCAATGGTGGATCATTTGGAAACGGAGGAGCATACAAGAACGGAAACGGTGGCGGATTCAACTCTGGCGGTGGATTTAACTCTGGCAATGGTGGCGGTAACTGCGACTACTCTGAGAAGAACAGACTCGATCAAGAGATTCGAAACAGAGAGCGCATGAAGGATCGTCTCGACGACGAGATTCAGAGACGCCAGAACATGAAGGACCAGCTTGACCAGGAGATTCGCCGCAAGCAGAACGGCGGATGGTAGATGGGGCTATGAGATTTTTGGATAACATCAAGCATTTTACTAGGTCGAGGCGTTGAGGGTGAGAACTTTAAGTGAGCGAGTTAGTTTCTTTTCCTGGGGGAGCTGGTTAAACATGGTGTTTGGGGGATATCAAACTGGAGTCAATCCTTACAGGCAGACTAGGGCCGTAGGCATAATTCACATCTCAAAGTAGAATGATCAAAATACTACAAAGTCCTTAAGACAATTCTGACACACATCCAACACGATTGTCTGCTGTTTCCCGAGTTTCGCTCTACAATATCTTAGAACTCCAAGCTAGCTCTTGCTGGATATGAACAGACGCTAATTAGCCCTTCCTTTATGCAAATATTTGTAGTCAGATGTATTATCACTCATAGAACCCCTCAAGGTGAACATCCCTCGAAATTTGTCTCGTGCCCTTCTTTTGCCCGCTCTGAAGGATCCGATTCTTTCGAGATGGCTTTCAACGCTTTCGCGGGGTTTGAGACCAAATCAGAAGACAAACACAGATATGGTAAACTTCTACCCAAGCATGTATTGACGACGAATGCTGGAAATGGCATCGAATTGAAGAAAAGCTGAATGAAAAGAAAGCTATGAGGCAGAAATAGCAGGTCTTTCAAAGATAAATGTGTTCTGTGTACGTGTAGGCATTACTAGCATGTTACTTGTTATGCATTCAATGTTCCCTTTCACTGGGACTACCTACCTGTCATCCCCTACCATGGCTTTGATAATGGCCGAGCAGTTGTTAAACTACTCACGAAGGTCTAAAATGTCTTTCAAAAACTGGGCCTAGTATCGGGAGGCCAGCACTTCCAGTCATATTGAGACCTGCCCGTAACTACCGGACGGCTTCCTCGACTGGCTATGGTGCCAGTATCGCATTGCGGCGCCTCAAGGCGACACTCGTCGCACTTTCAAATCTACCAAGGACATCCTCCACGCTGCAAAGATCTTGGAAAAAGGGAACCACACCGTACCGGCATTCATCGTCAAACTTCTCAGAGGCGTTATCGCCAAGCGGAAGTACGTCTTCAGTCTTTACCAGGCGCTCAATGTCGGCGACGCCAAACATGCGGCATTTGTTGTGAGGTACGCTGCTGTATTGGATCATAGTGTTTTGGTTCCTGTACTGATCTTATACAGACTCCAAGAAACTCTTGTCATAATCACCCCTTTGGCGAGCCGCTCGACTTCAACCGGCGGCGCGACGTCTGCCACGGCAGCCACGCCCGTTGTGGTGACTCCAAACCCATACTCGCATCTCCGTGTCAGGGAGAAGAACGTCCGATATCAGGCGCAGGTGGATCAAGACGGCGATGAAAAAGAAGCAACTCCAACGTTTCCATCCAAGGAAGTAGAGGTCGAAGCCTTGCCGTCAAGTAAAGCACAAATCAGACTTGAATACGATTAAAGGAACTTCCCACATCGGAGATCCCGGGTATTGATACCGTGACGCTGAATTAATTTGCTGCACTCGCTTTGGAGGAAGGAGATACCGACGCTGACAACGACGACTACGATGCTTCGACTTTGCATACCAGCTCGAAACTCCCTACTGCTACCCATAGGCGGTCAGTCAAGGGCAGGGTCATTGTTCGTCAGCCCGAGGTCTTCCGCGAAGATGGTGAGACGTGCCGCGTTTTCGAGGTGGCCTATCTTCTACGCGTAATTAAGTCATGAACCGTTATTTCCGAGATGTGACTTTTAGACCCAAGAAACGTCACCAGGAAGCTGGAAAGATGCGCGACCAGCTGATGGTGTTTTGAGCCGAAGCCGGCAAAAGAATGGTCCCGATTCCCGTCGCAGCGTGGCTGACGAGCACGGTGTTCTGCCTTACGAATCGATTAATTGCAGACCGTTTTTCCTCTGACCAGTGACGAGATGGAGAAGACGTGCAGCCACTTTTTCGATTTTCTCGAAGCGCAACCGGAGATCGACGACGCGACTGACAATCAGCTTAATGTCGTCCGCTCTTGCGACTTCCGCGCGTTCGTCAATGACCGGAGTTCCAACCGCGACCAGCTCGGAAGGGGGGCGACTTGTACGTATCTCACCGTGACCAGATAGTCATTCAAAGACCCCCGGACATTCCCCATAAACACAGGACTACGGACGGCAAATACGACGAGGAGCACTGCAGGGGAGTTTTGGAAAATTTGGAAAGTACACGCACTAATTACGAGGAATTCCGATCCGTAGAGCGATTGGAACTCCACAACATAACCGTGGTACAACAAGCCAGATCGTCTGAGCCGGTTCTGGACTACCTTACCTCAAGAATTCCCAACTTGATTCACTGCCTTCTCCCTCAGTGGAGGAACATGCTGCCTCTACAGAGGCAACAGAGCAAACTGACTCCCCGGACTCAGCAGACGATGCTTCGACAGAGCTGTTTTTCGGCATGGATCTGCTCGTAACGACATTTGATGCCTTCCGCTGGCCAGATGGGAAACTCAACAAAGACGTTGATGTAAGGACCCGTGCTCTCGACCTAGCCTATGACATGAGAATCGCGGTAGACGACTCGTTGAAAGTCTTGCAAGACTCCTTCAACTACGCTCATGGCGCAACCCTGTTAGAGGAAATGAGGGAATTATTGCGGGGCCTGTCCGACTATACCGGCGGACACGTGGGGGGAGATGTTATTTCAGGTCCAGTATTTCGGCAGATATCTCGCCGGCAGTAACCCCCACACCGGCCCAGCCGCAATCCCGGCGACGCTTCACCTCTACAACGCCCTCCGGCGCTCCGACTTCAATCTCGCCGAGATTCCCATCTTGAAAGAGTTTTGCAACCTTTTCGAGGTCAACGTTGCTCAAGGTGACCTGCACGACAAGAACTTTGTCTCCATCTACAGTCGCATCGTATTCGGCGGAACACTCAACAAAACTAAGTCCGCTATTGAGTGGGGGAACAAGGAGTGTATCGTCCCGCCGCTGATGTCTACCTTTTCGAGCCACACGACAATCATCACAAGATGCCCCCCAAATGCTTGGCCCGGTCCCTCGGAGAAAGCAATCCAACATCAAAGGCCCAGGAGGAGAAGATTGCCAAGAAAGCCGTATCACAACCGATTACGGCATTAATGCAGGGGGCCAAGGAGACGGTGTTGCCAGAGTTTAGTGGTCCTGTCCCCGTGATACGGATCAACTACTTCTGCCATCTTTAACCTGTGCACCAAGGTCCTCGAGAACTTCAGCGAGATCATCGACGAAAGTGAGTTGAAGGGTTCACTGGGGTTTTCTCCGCCGGTCGAGCTTCATGCGATTCGTGGAGTATCCATGGTTGACAATGCGCTCGAGGTCATCGCTGAGTACTCCAAGACTCATCGCAACGGAAAGAAGCTCTCTTATTTGGATTGGCCAACGTTTGCAGCCAGGGCATTTAATGTTGTCGACAAGAACGCAACTCTAGAGCAGTTCTTGTGGAAGGTTTAAATACGGCCAGGTACCATCTTGGATCTTTAGGCCCCCTCAGGGAGCCTTGAATTTATGAACAAGACGGATGTAGTGGATGGAAGCCAATTAAGTGACACTGCTTGCGGAAAGTGCGGTGGGTCCTCGGCCTTTCCATCACCAGAATTGTCGAGATCTCGAGGCGCCTTACATCCACGAACGAGACGCAGGTGGCAAAAGAAACGACGATTCCCATAACCACGGTGGTGTTGAATTGTAATTATCGTTCCCTCATGCCTACTCTTTCTTACTAGCAGCCCCCTCCGTCTTCATTCCCTCACACCCAAACGCCTTTCCAGCAATCTCCTCAGCCTTGCCATAGCCCTGCGTTGACGCATCACGCTGCTCACCCACAGCCTTCATCGTCGACGCAGCGTGGGCCTTATCCTGCTCTCCTGAAGAAGTCCACGCGTGCGAGCCTGTGACGCTGCCGATGGCGGCCTGATTTAATCCTGTCAGCATCTCAACTCCCCTAGAGCTGCTCCATCGCGAATCTTCATCTTACCTCAGCCGCGCCCTTGATGTACTCGGCGTGGCCGGCGACGAGGCCGGGTTGTTGAGTGTTGGTGTTGGTGTTTTGAGAAGTCATTGTGTGGAAACTTGGTGGCGTGTTTGAAAGGAATTTGGTAGAGAATTTAAGAGATAGAACGAAGGTTGATATTGAGTCTGATATGGGGATAAAAGCGGATGAAGTCTGTTGTATATTATGACCTTTGGAGAAAAGTATTGGGATTGAACTCATGGGAGATCGAGTGTAATTGAGTACCACCAACGGTTGCTCGATGACGTCAATACATAGGTCGACGTCATTAGTGGCAACCACATCACATGACTATCTCCTGCTCCAAGAGGCGAGACTGCCGCAATCGCAAAGGCTAGTGTGGATGTGAAGTGTTTATTCCGCAGTACATTGTCGAGGAAGAAAGACATTGAGATTAATGGGGTGGGAGATCATGCTCGGATCTTATTAAGTTTCCGGCGCAAGAGACTGTGAGAGCAATGTTCAATTTACTGGATTTTTTTGATGAGGCAATTATCGCCACCGCTTGACAGTATCAGCTATTAATCATTGGTGCCAATCATATCCAAGAAAGCAGTAGATTTATACGTCAACCTTCTCGGCATGTGAAGTGTTGAGGCCCTCCGTCTTGCCTCCAGCAGCCGCTACACGGTCCTCAAAGCGTACACCAGCCCTTCCGGTACGCCAGGCGGGGATATTGGAGTCGAAAAGCTCGTCAATCTCCTCAAGAGTTTTGCCAGAGGTCTCGGGGTATGTGAAGAAGATGTGCACAGTCATGGCGGCACAAAAGGTTCCGAAGATCATATACGTTTTCCACTGGATGTTAGTGAAGGCAGGAAGCACGAAAAAGGCAAGAGCAAGGTTGAAAGCCCAGTTAGAGGCCGCAGCCAGACCGACACCAGTCGCCCGGTACTTGAGAGGGAAGACTTCCGAAGCATAAATCCAGCCGATCGGGGCCCATGTGAGGCCATAGACACCAACAAAGATGTAGGATAGGGCAATAACACCCTTTGCTGGAGGTCCAGTGACCTCCCATTTCAGGTTACTGTCGCCGTTGACGCTGTCAACTGGGTTGCCGTGAACCTTCATGACAGCGCCAGTTGTGAAATGGATGATGCAGCAGATGATAGCACCACCGATAAGGAGAGGACGACGACCAAGGCGATCGATAATCGGGAGGATGGCGCCGGTTGTCACAAGGAAAATGACATATTGGATGATAGAGGAAGTCAGAGCCACGTTGCCAGACTATAAAACAGGTTAGCCGTGTTTGCAAAAACCAGGTCAGAGAACGGAGTCACCCACCAGGCCGGCCATATTAAATAAACTTATCAAATAATATAACATAACGTTGCCTCCTAGAAGCTGCTGCCATACTTGGACACTGCACCCGGCTAAGGTACGCTTCCAGATACGCGGGCCAAAAAGACCAATAATGCTGACGTTCTTAGACTCGGCGGCAACGCGGGCAGCTTCCCTGACTTCATCGAGCTCAGCAAGAACAACAGGCGCCTCCCGATCGCCACCGGCGTGGAGATGAGAAAGGACCTCGTGGCACTCCTCCCACCGATCCTTCTGGCCCAGCCAACGAGGCGACTCGGGGAAGAAGAAGAGAGCAATTCCGAGGATGAGACCTGGAATACCCTGAATACCCCAGGCGATGCGGAATGCCTTGGGATCGTTAGGAATACTGACGATACAGCCGTAAGAGATAAGGTACATGATGAGAATGCCCCATTCGATCGACCATTGCTGGATGCCGACGATACGACCGCGAATGCGGGAGGGGGCGAGCTCAGCAAGGTAGACGCAGCACTGGGAACTTGTGATACCAATGGCCAGACCAGAAACGACACGACCAACGATGAGGTGGGCGACATTCTGGGAGGAGCATTGGAGAACGGCACCGATGATCCAAATGATGGAGGCAAGCTTGAGAGCGCCGCGGCGGCCCCATGAGTCGGCTAAGAAACCAGCGATCAGAGCACCGACAAGGGAACCACCGGACATAGAGGCCGTGATGCCTCCCTGGAGGGTCGAACTCGGATGACCGAAATATTCTTTGTAGGAGTCGGCGCCGATCCATGCACTCATAGAACTAATATCGAACCCGAAAAGCATGCCGCCAATGGTGCCAAAGGCGGCGAGCGCTACAAGTCGCTGATTAGCATCTAGAAACATGGTCATAGGGTAATGCTGCATGGGAAAGAGAGGCCCAGTCCAGGGTTGCGTACCGTAGATGTTGTAAATGCAAAACATGATTGGCTCAAGTTGTGCCTGTCCAAGGCGTTCCCGGGATATTTGGAAGTCAAAAGACGGTATCGATCAAAGCCTAAAACACTGCGATGCTGCATTTACACCAAGACTAGGTCCACGACAGGCACGTTGAATTGTCGGAAGGGAGAGAGGCAAGTTATATAAATGGTGAAATCTGGCGTCCAACAAGGCTTTCCACACGCAACCGACTAACATTGAGAGGCGCGCCTTTGACAGATTCGAATAAAAGGGGCCCACATGTTCCGGGTACGTAGCGTCTCGTTGAAGAGCCGGCAACGGGCGGCTGAGCGGGTGGTGTGGATCTCGAGCAGAGGCTCTGAGATAAAAGTGCCGTAAGGGCATGGCTCGGGATGCGAAAGCCAGGCTAGCCGGCAGGCGGCAGGCGTGTTGAAGCCATTTCAGAGTGACGGCAGGAGGTTGAGTCGCAGACATTCTGCGACATCGTCGAGTCGTGTTAAGCGCACGTATTAGAAGGCGAGAAAGTCAGAGATTCTAGGGCGGACGACGTCATGTTCGAGTGGGAAGCCAAGGACATGGTCCTGTCCATCTGCGGCATCAAGCGCGTGGAGTACTGGAAGATGTTAGCGCATTCGTATCAAACCCAGGATGGCGCGGGATGATGGACTAATTCGTGGATGGTTGGAGTTTGGGCTAGATGGCAAAAGAAAGACACAGGGATACGGGGTCTTGGGCCGTTTGGAGGTGAGCATCGAATCATGAAGGACAATCACTGAGAGGGACCATGGGCCGTGAGGGGAACCCGGGCAAGAAGGGGGAAAGTGCAAGGGGGCGACGCTCATGGAGGGGAATGGGGAAGGAGGAGATTGGGGAAAATTGGGGGAAGGTGCAGTATGATGGTGCCTTCCTCTGACTTCAGACTTTTTTTTTTTTCGAAAATGAAGGAAAGGGCAGAAAGTGGCCTCAGCTTTCGACGCAATAGCCGGGCCAGTCATGTCTCGATGAGTCGAGACAATTGGACATTGAAATGGCACCTCATCCTGTCGCGATTCCTACGCATTTTCGTGCCCTTTGCTTCACCAAGGACGGGAATAAAAGTCATTGTGCCATAGGAGTCCGTTGATGAGAGCAGGACCAATCAGCATGCTACGGAGTTTGTGCCTTGGGCAGAGTTCTGGGGCTCAATTCGACATCAGCCGGCTCATCAAGATCTGCACCAGATCCTTCCGGAAGGGGAATGGCGCCTTCTCCATTTCTCCGGCACCCGCACCTGTTGTATCCGTTTGTGGCTCTCTGGGAAGGAAAGCCAAGGGCTCGTGTGGAAAGAGCGTCTGGGAGAGGCAAGGGGTGCTGCAATGCTTCGTCACTTTCATCCCACTTTGAACTCTGAAGAGCGTTTCATTGCTCCAACAAGTGAGCAAACAACGTCCAACATCCCGGATATCTGTGCTTGCTCCGGCTCATTCCGACTTGGTACATATCCTTGGCTTCAACGGCAGGCACCGAGCACTCACCACGGAACCCAGCCGAGTAGCAGTGCGGCCTCCTGAAGATGATTGGCACATCTGAGCGACACCAGGCAAAGTCGAGGGACTTCGGCAAAGAAGGAACTATGGCACAAGTTCACGCCTTGAGAACATCTTTCACTAATGGAACAGACACGTAAATCTTGATCGCGACGCTACACGCCCGTCTTTTGCTCTTTTCTCGCGGCCGGTGACGTGAGCCGTGTCAGCGCCGAGACACTCGGAAAGTTTGGAAAGTACGGAATCGGCCCCACTTCAGCACCTTCCCCTCCCCCATCACCGGACTCCGAGGACCGGGAGTACCAGGAATGACCATAAGATGAGGTAAGGTACTGGGAAGCTGCACTAGAGAGACTTCGTCATTTAGATTCAACACTACAAGTTAACGCTCGAAGAATTCATTGCGCAGGAACGCTGGATTTGGTACGGACGACGAACTTGTCCAAGGCAGGCACGGAGGCGGTCCCGCTTTGGCACTTCTCCGCCCTACTTCCCTTCCCGCCGTCGAAAAAGGCAGTCTCTCGATAGAATATCAATCACCCGGTCACTCCTGAAAGAAAACGTGTTGGCAGGGGCGACTTCCTGCCTCATTGTGGCCACTCTCCAAAGTGTCAAGTGTCGCAAAGCATCGCCGTGGCTGGTGGGCGAAGTCAAATCTTTATTGTGATGTCCTAAAAGCCCCTCGTCCCTCAGCACCCAGCAACACTAGGTCTCTGTCGATGTCTAATATCTCCTCACTGATAAACCATGCCGCCTTCAAGCCATACTCTATCCTGCCACGTCAATCGTGTCCGAAAACTCTCCATCACCACTCTCCTACTTAGGCAGCCGGGGCAGACGGCCCAGGGGGAGCTGGCCCAGGGACACTACCCAATCCCCCAGGAGCGGCACCGTAATCACTATGATATTCCTCCAACCATGCATCCATCTTCGCAATAAGAGCATTGAGACCCTGAATCTAACAGTCAATGCCCTTCACCATATCGGTGACCGCCCCACTCATCCCAACCAACCCGCCATGTGGCTGACCTGAGACTTTCCGAAAATCGTCTTCGACACGAGTTCTTTCAGCGACTGCCTGGCACAGGCTCGTTGTCATCTTCGTCTTCATTTGGAGAATAACCGCGTACTCCACTGGCGTCTTGAATTTTGCTTCGTCTCCCCTGCCGGTCATGCTGCCAAGGGCATTAGACAAGATCTCTGTCTCCATTCCCTGGCAGATTCCCATCGGGCTCTGAAATCTGTAGTATTGACTTAAATTCGGGTTGGTTGGAGGGCGATTGGAAATGAGAGAAGGGTAGGATATTTGTGGAATGGAGAGACGAGATTGGCTTGGAGGCTCAGTGCTGTGACTTGCAGGTCCTGCGGGAAGCGGAGGTAAAACGACAGAAGGATGCGGAGTACGAGCTTCAATAACGGGGCGAGGACTGTTGGCGGGAGGAGCCTGGTACACGGCATCGATGACAAAAGCAGCCTCGTCCAGAGGAGCAAAAGCTTGGTCCGGGGGGTTGACGGGAGGAGAAATATGAATCGGAGGATCGTGGGCTGGAGAAGCCTGTGGCGAATGGCCGGTGACGGAAGAAGCCTCGGTCGGAGGGTTCATAGGAGATGAAGGTAGAGGATCGATAGCAGGGGAGCTCTCGACCTTGGCAACCGGAGAAAACTCAATCAAAGGAAGTATAACGGGATTCTCCGGTTTCTAGCGGTATGTTAGCACCTCTTCCAAGATTTCTGATACCATGAGCTGTGAACGTTGGGATACGGATGCACAGACCTCTATTGATTCGGCCATATTGATTTCAGATGTTCTTGCACGAGTTGTTGGCTAGAAGTTGGCCTACTTGTGGTCTCCTAGTCGATTAAAAGAGTTGGTTCAGATATGTTGTGAGCAATGGAGGCAGAGGTGGGAACACGAGATGAGGTTGACAAGGGAGAAAGGAATGCACTCAAGGATAGAGAAAAACAAACGCTCGGTGAGTGGTTCCTCCCCAACACAAGATGTCTTTGGTAACTAATCGCTTCCTGCTTTTATTTCAAAGTCGTCATACCATGTTCTTTCTCTTCTCGGCTCTTGCATGATCAACAGACCAAGAGTCAGGGGCCATTAAGGACACCAACGGGACGGCGCAAGGCACCATGAATGCCAGGAGCCAACGAAACAGGTAGATCCCCTTAAAACCACCCACAAGGCGGTATCATCATTCATCGCACATCTTACCGATCTGCAACAGTTTCGTGCTTCTGCAGATGAATCATTACAACATACCTTATGTTGCAGGCAGCACCGCTGCACGAGACAGCTTACTGTGATACAAGGGCTCGTCTTAGTGCGTTGAAAGGTCGAATTTCATACCAAACCCACCAATTACATATGGCAAATCTTGAATTATACGTAGGTAGTCGGGAAATATGACCCGAGCCTGAAATCGAATCGCCTACACCAGAATCACGTCGTCCATGCTCATGTCATCAGGAACCGCTTCGCCGTGCATGATTCCATGAACATAGCACTCTCCTACTAAACGATGTCTTCTTTTGTCAACCTTCCTGAGAAGAAATGGAACGTGGCAAGCCTCCAAGACATAAACCTCGTCTCCCACTCTGCCTGTCTCCGGCAGCAATCCTAAGTAGCCCTTGGACGTGAGACACAGCCTACGGTTCTGCATAGCATGCATCATTGCGGTAGCCACTTCCTGGAATGTTTTCCTGGCCACACGTGTCTTGAAGCTCTCCAAGTCTAGCTTTCCCTTGCCTACGGGCCGTTTCTGTCTCGCACTGTAAGTTTGCCCTGGCAGTGATGGTGAAAGCCCTGTGGATGCATCGATGAGAAAAGAGAGGATTTCCTCGTAAGCCACCGGCGCCTTCGCCATTTCGGTGGCGTCTTTTCCGGCTACTAGTGTCTGCCAAAATGCAGAAAAAACGGTTTCGTGTCCTGGATACTGTTTTAGTCCAGCGACAAAAGAATGCATCTCTTTCAAAGCTTTGTTTTCGGCAACTGGTTCACTAAGACTCAAGTAGGGATTGTCGAAGATGATGCTGACAGACATAATAGTGTCGAAAACAACTCCTTGAAGTCGCCACTGATCTTTATGTTCCCCTTCTAATCTTGCGAGGACTTTGCCAACTTCAACTTTAGGATTGCGACATGCCATGTACGCGGTTCTTGTGGTACCTGCATGCCCCAACGAGTAGGATCGACGCGGCTTTCTCCAGTCGGGCACCCAGGAGGGCAGATCGGCCGATTCGTGGTCAACGCAGTCGAGTATTGAACCCAAAATTGGATTAACATTCAACAGATGGTGCACCGCCAGATCGCGATATAATCGAGTCTCGGGGTAGTCGATCGCGTAGCTGGGCTTGATCACCATGGTGTCCGGACCGGCACACACCCCCAGCAGGCCGTACACTTTGTCCCGACTGTCGTAGCACTCAGCTCCGCGGGCTTCGACTAATACGTCAAATAATGGTGGCATCAAGTTGTCGTAAGCTGCCTTCATTTCGCTGAGACGTTGGACCAACTCGCAGTGATCTTTCCGAGTACCGACTATACGATTGCCAAAATTGATCTTTTCCTCGAGCCATCTAGAGATTCCGCAGGTCCAAAGATTCAAGCAGGCTAAGGACAGAACATCCCATGTAGTCATGTCGTTGCCGCAGACGACCCAAGGATCGTGTGAGAGAATGACCTCTTGTATGATCCACAAACGTGAGAACCACGGCCGGGCAAGGAAGTCCCATAGTGCCTCCCAGATTTCCGAATTCGGAGGGGGAAGACAAAGTCGCTCGAAATCCTCCGGATTTACCTCCCCCTCCTTGAACTGCAGTAGTGTTCTAACGTCTTCCAGAAGCTTGATCACAGAAGCAGAATGTGAACTTGACTCCCCCAACCAGATTACGGTATTTGTCGCGCCTTGATAGACCCTCGTCATCAGAGGTATCTGCTGCTCCTTCTCCTTGTGGTCCTGTTGATTGATGCATATCTGGTCGATCCACATCACCACCGACCGGCCCTCCTGCCGAAGGGCCTTCAAAGCAACAGCGAGGGACGTTGTAATGTTCTTGACGATACCATCGCACTCGATTGTCTCGTCGAAAACGTTTGCGCCCCATGTGTAGCTGAGCGCCGTGTACACTATTGGCGTTGCTAACCCATCCACAGAGAGAGCGAATCTGGCGTCGAGTTCCAGCGAGCAGTGGTGAAGGTTGCCCCTTAACTTGTCAGCGTTCGAGCCAGGCAAAATCTCAAGCACACGAGTTTCGAACGGGTCAAGGATGGGACGGTAAAGAGACGAAAGCTGGGGTTGGGCCGGTGCTGTTTTCGGAATGGCATGGGACGATACCCACGTGCGAATTAGGTTCCTGTCATCGCTGTCGATCTCGGGCTCAGCAATTCCGGCAAGGGTGAACTTTTTGTCGACATTGAAGTTGACCCAATACTCAGACGTCAAAGATCGTTTGAAGAACTGCGTGTCGTTAGACGACATCTTGACAGTCAAAGCAGGAAGCACAAGCGGATGTTCAAACTTGCCCGCGCAGAATCAGGCTGTCAGGTTCATGGAGGAGTAGGAAATGTAGCAGGCGTCAGCTTCGTGCACAAAAACATTCGGCGGGAATGGGGTGGACTGTAAGCTGCAGTCTTTCCTTCCCTGTGAGTGGATAGCTAACTCTTAGCATTGCTTGCCCCTGCGATCCAATGACAATGCCACGCCAAGCAGGCTTGGTACAATGTGTCTAACATCACATGATGGCAACGTGAACAGATGCAGGATACGGCCAACACCATTGTAGTTGGAACAGGAGGTATCTTTAATCTCTTTCCATTCTGGAGGTTGCACTGGGGGCTGTGGCATTGATCCATAGGGCAAGCAAGTCGCCATTAGAATACCTAGTAGCTGATTCGCTGTACCAAAAGATCACCAAAACTACTCCGCTTGCAATGTAGTAGCCAAACAACATGAGTTAAGAGCCAGCCTGATGTCGGAACTCAAGCGTAATTCAGCTTCATGATATAAAATGCAATTCGGTTGGGGAAACCTTGACATCGGTCGTCCGAACGCCGAACTTAGGAAACCGAACCGGAGTTTTTGGTACCGGCGAAAGTCCGACGGCGTGAAGCAATGGTATGAAGCCGTCCCGTGCAACACTGCAACACGGCAACACGGCAGAACGGTGTCAGTTTGGGTACCGCGTTCCGGTACTTACTTTCCTCCAATGGTCTTAAATCGTGTGACTTGGTGTGACTAGGAATCTGCATAAGGCGTTGGACTTGTTTTTAAAAGGCCGACAAAAGTTTGAGGCCGATTCATCATCACATCATGAGTGCCAAGAAAAGAGTTAAAGATACCTCAACCCCTCGCATCATAGGAACGTCAGCACTGAATACCTTACTTCCATAAACACAGACCTACCAGCCATATACAAAATGACTGCAGTAAAGGAAATCAGAAAGGTGAATATGGTTCCCGTGTCACAACTGCCTTGCCCGGTCGAGTCTTCTCTGACAATAGTCATCACAGATTATCATCATTGGCGGTGGCCCAGCAGGCATACTTGCTGCGCTTCGGCTGAAAAAGTGCAATGGAATCACACCGATAGTCTACGAAATCCGTCGTCAGCCAACAACACTCGGTGGAGCGATCGGTATTCCCTCCAACGGTCTTCGGCTGCTTGATCGCCTTGGTCTCTATAACGATGTTGCAGCCCGGGGTGCACTGACGCCTAAACTCGTCTTATATGCTCTGAAAGGCTGCGTCATGGGCGAGATGGATCTGTCTTCCTGGAGCGAGCAGCAGACCGGCTTTGGATACTTGCGTGTCCAGCGAACCGACTTGATGGATGTCTTGCTAGGTGCCGCAAAGCAAGCAGACATCCAAATACACTACGGCAAAGCATTGGAGAAGATCGAAGAACAAGACAACACCGTGACCGCGCGGTTCGCCGACGGGACAGCAGATACAGCCGACTTCCTCCTCGGGTGCGACGGGATCCACTCCGCCGTACGGAAACTCTATATCGACCCGGGCTCCGTGCCGGAGTACTCGGGCTTTGCAAACATGTTTGCTCTCGTTCGACCAGACGAGGTTTGCCCTAGAGCCACGTCTGTCGAAACTATGAGCGCAACACTCACCTCTGACGGACTTTTCGTCATCGCCCCGACGATACCGAACCGCAATCTGCTCTACTGGTTTTTTTCCCGCGAGGTTGATCTTCCGTCTTTTGGCAATGTCCGCGACGGATGGGAGGAGCGCGGAAAAGAGGCAGCAGACACGTTCAAGGCGACTCTTCTGCATCTCTTGGGGAACCAAAAGTCTGAGTGGATGGACATGGTGCATGAGATCATCAAAAACACGAATGCCGTCCAGTTCTATCCGATCTACAAGATGCCGCGGGGCAGACCGTGGTCAAAGGGCCGCTGCATGGTTCTCGGTGATGCTGCCCACGCGATGCCACCGCACGCCAGTCAGGGAGTTTCCATGGCTTTAGAAGACGTCTTCCTTTTCTCAAAGATGTTGAATAGTAACATCGAGAGGTTGGACGACGCCCTGCAGGGATACGAGAAGAAGCGCAAGGTCAGGACGGAGGCGATGTTGGATAAGGCGGAGTCCAATGGATCCTTGCGCAAGTCGACTGCACCTTGGCGTCTTCGAGCAATGGAGTTGGCTATCTCTGGAGGATTGTGGGTTTCCAAAACCACAGGAATTGATAAGATGGGGTTCGGGCAGAAACCTCTGGTCTACGATGTCGAAGAGGAGGAGTTTTGATCCAGAGTTAGGAAGAGCCGGTTGTGTGTTTACTCAAGTTCGTCATAGTAAGTTGTACAAGTATACCTTATGTCACTGCAAATATGTTATTTAGGATATGACCCATACTTTTCAAGAAAATTCAGACTATTCTATATGGCGGGGATGATAAAATCATGCTAAGATGTTTTGTTCTACCTCCCGCTCATGCCTTTCCCGCCGAGCCAAACCAATGCATGTAAGTTTCGCACGCCTTTTGCATTTCCTTAGTACCAGCTTCAATCGTAGCAGTAATCGGACGACCTCTAGCTGTCTCTTGAGTTGGGACATAGTGGTTGTTGATCCCCTTGTTAATGTTGATCTTTGTCACACCAGCTTTGATGCAGCGACTGTAGATCTCCTCTGTAAACGGATCCGCCCCGTGAAGGATGAGCCTGACTCTATCTCCAACAGCCTTGTTGGTGTTCTCGAGGCGATCGTACTCCAGCTTGATTCCCCGCGGACCATATTCACCATGGACATTGCCGAATGCGGGTGCAAGCATCTCAATTCCCGTCGCCACGAACTCCTCAGCTTGCTCTGGTGTTGTGAGCACACCCTCAAGATCTATCGTCTCAGCCACACCGTCTTCGCCACCTTCAATCCGTCCGGGCTCTGCTTCCGTCGCGATACCGCGTTGATGGCAGTAGTCAACAAGCTCGCGAGTCAGAGCCAAGTTCTCTTCCTTTTCGTAGTGGCTCATATCGACCATGATACTATCAAAGCCGTCCGGGATATCTGCGGCGCGGCGAACCAGCTCCGGTGTCTGGCAGTGATCGAGATGCAGTGATACGGGTACAGAAGCGCTATGGCATAGTTCTGCTGCGGCTCGGACAAGAGCGCTACCGGCGTATTCCATCGCCCAAGGAAAGAGCTGCACGACTGCGGGTGAAGAGGTTGCTTCTGCTGCTCTGACAGATGCTACCACGGCTTCGAGATTGTAGCAGCAGAAACCGGCAACTGCATAGCCACCTTCGTTTGCGGCATTAACGATTTTCATCGTTCGATTTTCGGCGAGAGAAGGTCGAGCCATTTTGAGAGCTTGAGTAACAACAAACGAGATTTTAGAAATTTGACAGTGCTCAGAATGTTGCGATGGTTCGAGAGCTGGATAGGATCAACGGACTTTGGTGAGTCTTTCGACTTTGGCCTCGGCAATGTAGGTACTTGGGGATAGTACTCACAACTGAGACTGGGAAAGGAAATGTCTCTATTATGAAGTTCCAATAATGAAGCAACTCGAGACGATGGACTCACAAATCGTGTCGATCTGTGATGTGGATTGCGGGGGAATCTAGGACTGGGGCGGAAATGGGCCGATTTTCCGCGCGAGCCGTGGTTACGGAGTGAAATCGGAGCAGCATTCGGTTCGGGAAAAGGCCTTCGTCACCCCGAGCTACCGACCTCTACCGAATGGACGGGTTACCTGGATCCGAAGTCATCTCTCATTCGCCGTCACTCAAGTTTCTCCTCATTCTACTTAATCTTGGGGGTTGTGTCGCCGATGACGGATTGCGAGAATCCGGTCACCTTCATCCACGTCCTTGGCTCCCCGTACTGATCTCAACTTTACTCCAAGGCACCATAGAACACCTACACACGCCCTTTTACCCTTCAACGAAGACATCATGGACTCTAACAAGCAGCCCACGGCCTTTATTGGTCTTGGGGCCATGGGATTTGGAATGGCGACCAATCTCGTTCGTCTTGGATATCCTGTGACGGGGTTCGATATTTATGGGCCGACACTAGACAAGTTCAAAGCAGCAGGAGGTCTCACAGCGACAAGTCCAGCCGAAGCTGTCGCGGGCAAGGAGTTCTGTGTTGTCATGGTTGCCACAGCGGAACAGGCGCAAGGCGTCTTGTTTGCAGGTGACGCTCCGGCCCTATCGACCCTTCAGCAAGGAGCAGTGGTGCTGCTATGTTCGACGGTACCATGCGCTTATGTTCAAGGTCTTCAGAAAGAGCTGGTTGCAAGAAATCGCGATGATATTGCTCTGGTGGATTGTCCGGTGTCCGGAGGGGCTGCCAGAGCTGCGGCAGGTACTCTATCGATTATGGCCGGCGCAGAAGAGGAAGCTGTCAGAAGGGGGCTTCACCTGTTGCAGGCCATGTCGGATCCTGAGAAGCTTTACATCGTCAAGGGCGGCATCGGAGCTGGAAGTAACATGAAAATGTGCCATCAGGTACTTGCGGCCAACCAGATTCTATCATCGAGCGAAGCGTTGGGCTTTGCGACGCATCTGGGCTTGGATCTCCCTAACACGGGCGAGAAAATCATCAAGTCAGAAGGTTGGAGTTGGATGTTTGAGAACCGGCTACCGCGCATGCTGGACGCACAATACGAACCTCTGGCTAGCGCGGTCACGATCATTCTCAAAGACACCAGCATTATCACCTCAGAAGCGCGCCGGGCCGGATTTCCCACTCCGATGACCTCGACGGCGGAGCAGGCTTATTTCACCGCCCTCGGTAAAGGCTACGGTCCGGATGACGATGCGAGTCTCATCCGACTCTACATCGAAGGAGTGGGAAAGGTTGGGCCCGTCAAGCCGACCGTCACGACCGAGGAAAGTAAGCTAGGCCTCGTCGTCGGCCTACTGCGTGGCATCCATCTTTGCGCGGCCGCCGAGGCGATTGCATTTGCGCGTTTTGTTGGTCTGGACTTGGAGCAGGTATTTGAGCTTTGCATCAACGCTGCCGGTGGGAGCAGCATGCTTTCCGGCGAGGGCCGGCGCATTGTGGATGCTATCGCGGCCGGAAGGTCACCGCACGATTGGACTGCCTCCGGCAACGAGAGCCAACTCCAAACAATATCACACGAGCTTCAGGAGGCGGTGGATGAGGCGCAAAGACTGAAGCTACCGCTGTTTCTCGGAACACAGGCTCTCAACTTGATCAGGGGTGTTTTGCTAACTGCCGGACCAAAGGCGCCTGGTTTGGCACTTGGATCCGTCGTCAGTGGTTGGACCGCAAGAGGCAACCCCGCGGCATAGTGTGGGATTGCGTAGACGGCCCACATCTTGGCACCATTTCACTATCTTTGGACTTATTCTGGACGTCAGCGTTCGGTGGTTGATGCAACGAGACAGAGCCACTGGTTCCACGCGGAAACGTGTTATCCGCATTTCCGTCTCATACACTGGTCACGAGTCATCTTAGAATCGGAGAGTAACTTTGTCAACGTAGCGCCTGGCAATTGTAGTGTTTTATTTCAACCAAGATTACTAGACAAATGCATCGATTCAATTACGAAACCGTAGTGTTAACGTCGTGTATAGTGACTCTGGAAGTCACCTTACTTTGCGCGTGTTGAGGCTCAAGACTTCAAATTCCCGACATTACCTTCATTGAATCAGGGATATACCCAGTGCCCCCATCCTGGCAAGCCCCCTGGAAAGTCCTTATACCCAGACCCAGATAACCATCTGCTTCTGATGATTGCATGTTAGTTGACATACATTCCTAAAATGGCAACGGCACCAATTTTGGCCGAGATAGGTAAAGATTGAGAAAAGGAACTTTTGTACATTTATCAAGTATCAGCACTGTATCAAACAGCATGACATGACTAAAGAAGAAAGCCGCCCAAAACCTCTACCGAAGAACCCCAATGTTGAATCCAGCAACTATCGGTACCCATATCCTTCTGCGAAGCACCCATTTCCCAAACTCCGACAAAGTAAAAGCCCCTAAAAATTAAATGCGACTAAGCCTTGAATGCCTTGGCAAATGATCGCGGAGCTGCCGGCGCGGGTACAGGCGGAGGAACAGCGGCTGCAGGCGTTCCGGGAGCAGGGGCTTTGGCCGGAGCGGCAGCTGGAACGGTTCCGGCAGCCGGAACCGGCTGAGCGCCCGCAGCCGGAGGTTGAGCTCCAGCAGCGGGGATAGCGTCCGGCTTCTCGGGCTTCTTCTCCTTCTTGCCCTTCTTCTTGCCCTTCTTCTTCTTCTTCTTCTTTTTCTTGCCCTCGGCTTCGACTTCACCTGGATTCGTGACGTCGTCAACTTCCTCAACCTCTTCGAATTCGTCCATGTCATCCTCAGGCGTCGCGTCAGGAATCAAGCCTGATGGAGGAAGTTGGGGAGGCTGAGCTTGGCGGGCTATGATGCCGGTGTCATGTAGAGACATGTCACTGGTATAGTGTTAGTTGGGAAAGGCAGTCCTAGTTTTGAGGTCATTACTAACTGGAAAGTCTTGGCATCCTCTTCCTTGGCCACCGAAACCGGAAGGGCATCGATGCTGACCGCCAGGGCCGACAAGGTGAGTAGAGCGTTGAGAAACTTCATCTTGAAGAATCTCGCAGTCGACGTGAGAAGTTTGAGATGGTTGTGAGAGAGAGAGGCTGAAGAGTGAAGTGTGTTGGATGATGAGGAAAAATGACCAATTCGAGGCGGGATCTTGCCTGGATCTTATAGTAAACCGTTCTACAGACTTCGTGACAAGAGAACGGTTGAGCTCTTAGCTTTCGCGCATCTGAAAAAGAGCCACCAATGGCGGTGACGACAAATCCACTCGTCTCAACACATCTCTCAAAGGTTGCCGGCGGTCCAACTGGCGGAGGAATTCAATCACAGAGCACCGGCCGTCCCACGGAGCCTCCGTGTAACGGTTCGCGAATTCGACAAAGTTCCAACGCTCACGGTCACCTGGTCCCGGCTTCTCGATGAGGGCCGTTGTTGAGTTGAGCAGTTCTCTTCGAAGACCAATGACCATGGGCCGCCCATAGCGTGACACCTCACCATCTCCACGCAAGGGTGTGGACGCTGGGGCCACGATTCTGGGTTCTGCGAACACGGACATGAAGACTAAAAGACGTTCATCTAGCCTAAACGTCACTTGACAAGCCGTTTTTCTATTAAGGGTGAGCTCCCCGCCCGTCCGCTCAATACGAAAAGCTTGTCCAATACGGTTTGTTGTTACTTTTCTTCGGCGAGTACGAGCACGCCGCACAGGGAGTTTTGCGACTTCCATCTGGAGTCGTTTTCTCCGTCGTCGTTTGAGCCCGGGTAACGTCGTGAGCTCGCGTTCGAAGTGCCTTACCCACGCTTCCATGCAGCGTTCCATGCATGTTTAATTCATCTTGTGGAGCACCTTGAGTCGAGACGCGCACAATCTCCCCGCTAATCTCGGCTGGTACCTTGCATCCTACAGCCGTTATTATTAATGAGTCGGCTTACGATGTAGTCTGATCTGAGCATGCAATCCAAGAAAGATTGGCCAACGGTAACGTTATCTTCCGAGTTCCTCGGGAAAGCCGTGATGTCCAAGCCATAAGTAAGGCCATATTCTGAGCATAGCCATCGGGGACCAGGCCTGGGCTTCCCGACTTGAGCGCCAGGCCTAACCATCCCAGCTACGAGAATACTAAGTAGCCTTAGGAGAAATTTCAACGATAGGTTTAAAGAGCGTTTATTGTACCTTCTTGCTTCTGTGTGAGGTGTTGATAGATATCTACGAGCCAAACATCTGGCATCAAGTAGGTAATAGCAGGCTGAAGTCAATGCATCGATCGCAATGTAAACATCATGGTTGAGGTGGGAAACTGTACATTCGGATGCAACCCGTGAAGTTCGTTCTTTAGGCCAACCGGAGGACAACATTCGGGCCCGGAGAGAGGGGAAACAGAGCCTGTTTCCTGGGAACACTATCTGTATCCATCGTTCAAAGTCAACCTTTCATACCTACATCTAGATAGGCTTTGGGAAGTATGCCCCGAGCTTCGTCGTACTGCGTAATTGCCTTTAGGAACCCTACTCGGACCAAATCAAGACACTGGCCAAGAGATGGGTCTCACCTTGATATCGTTACGCAAGGAAGTTGATCTTTTGGTGATCTTGAAATCGGCAGGAAGCCGAAAGGGTGGATAATACCAACTGTTCGTTCACGGACATGGCCGCGCGAACCTTCGTTTCGCTACATGAGATGATCTGGACGGGAGCGAATGGGAACGTAGTAGCAGTGTTCAGAATTCTTGCTTACCTGCAAATCGATCCATGTGTACATAACGCTATGTCTGTTTGCGATTCATCCCCGCTGAGCCCTCCGACTTTGGTGTTTGTCAATCTGCACGGTTCGGCCCGAGGACACGAATGAATCAGAACCGCTCGCAACGTGGAGGCAGAAAACAGCGAGAGAGTTCATAAATGATATGTACGAGCAACGTTGTCACCAATCCACGTTGTCCAGATTGAAATGTCACGCGATGCTGGTATTTTGGGTTCCGTCCATTTGATTGAGTTCTAGAAGAACAGCTACGGCGGCACCCGCATCGTGCATCCAGCAGTCAAAGGGTGCATGGTGCATGGATCATCTGATAGACTGAGCATATGACAGGTGTGTCCAATGAGCTTAACTTCGGAACTGGTCGCCTTACTTTCGGTTTCGGCATTGGCTTATCAGCAAAGTCGCTGGCATAACCTACGGCCATGGCTGGGGTATTGCACGCATCCTACGGACTTACATCCATGACGCACCTTACCAACGACTTACCCGGACTGCGGAGATTCTTTCTGAATGACGTGATGTCTTTATTCCGAGTGAGTGAGAAAATCAACCCGATCCTCGCCTTGTTTTTGGGTGTTGTTGGATAGAACTTGATGATGGATAATGCAACATAAAGCTTAACCTTGTGGTTAAATGAGCTTGGATAGTAATAGAGCGGGCCGACTCTTCGAAGCTTTTCGGTAATCCAATATTCTAATTATCGAGTGAACCATGACCCTGAAAGTTTATGGCTATCGAGTTCGTCTCCCAGCTGCTTGTACCATGGTCCGGACAATGTTTCTAACACCTGCCCGTTCTTCTTTGCCTAGTAGGTGTCTCGCGACTCTACGGCCACGAAAGATTCGATTGCGTCGGCAATGCATTCCTCCAAAGTCCGACATTTCGTTCCCAGAATGTCCACAGAACACTGAGTGTTGATGGCAAACACAGCATTTGGCATGTCTATCCAGGAGTCAGCGGTTGTAATACCGGGCACGTGTCCTCAAAGCACTTACCACCACCCGAAAGATGTTCCGATGGCAGATCATGACGGTGTTTGGTTGATCTTTTCCGAATGATTTCGATGATATCACGGTTCGAATAGTGGCCGCTGGCAACGAAGAAGCGTTTATTCCCGGCCTCGGGCTCTTCCATGGCCCGTACGTGACACAAAGCTACATCACGGACATCGGCGAAGATTGGATACTAGTGAATATGAGCATACTTCTGGGCGGATCAGGGTATGACAAGAAGACTCACCTCGATTGTGGGTATGAGTTTTTCCATCGAACCGTTGATAAAGCTTCTTATAACCTGATTTGACTCGCTCAGGAAGTCAAGGCTGTTTAGACGCTGCAGCACTAGACCGAAGACGAGAGGGGGTAAGATGATAGACATCGTAAATCCTGGAGACTTGTCACTCAGAAAATCCCACGCCGCCTTCTCTGCGAAGGTTTTTCTTGCTGAGTTATTGCGTTGGGGTATACGTGCAGAGTGCAGACTCGAGTCGAGGTGAATTTACCTGCATAGCCGCCAGCTGGGCTTCCCAGTGCCTGCTCGACTGTGATGGGGTTCCAGTCTGCCTCTTCATACGTGTGGCCACACCAAAGACCCTTTGACATATCCAACATGGAGACGAAGGACCCCGTAATCACCTGAAAAGAATCAGCTGATGTTGCAACGTGTCTATGTAAGAGTTGGTCCGTACCACTCGATTGACCAGCGGGGATCCCGCCTTGATAGCCTGCAGAATCTTGGTGGTCCCGACAACAGCTGGGTCGATCAAATCTGCCTGGATGTCTTTGACTCCGTATGTGACCGGGCTCGCAGTGTGTATGACGGCGTCGAATGGGGGATCAGATCAGACTGCCTCGTCAAAGGCCCCTGGTCGTCCAACATCGGGAACGAACACAAAGCTTAACTTGTCGGCCGAATGTTTAGGGAACGCTTCACTGATGATATCAGCCTTGGCCTGATTTCGTACTGTCGTGACTACGGAGTAGCTAGCCGAATTCCAGACCGTTAGTGAGGGCATGGCCGCAAGGCTATGTGGATGAGGGTTTACCCTCGGTCTAGCAGCACTTTGATGGCGTGCATGGCGATGAAGCCGGTACACGCATTATCTCTGTTGATCTCGTGATATCGACTGAAGGAACGATACATGGCAGGTAAAAGATCTCAACGTCTCGGGGCTAAAGTACTTTACGTAACAGGCTCGTCTTATCGGAATGACCTTAAGCGACGAAACCTTTGCTCATCCACGAGACTATGAATCTACCTCTGAGGACAAACACGGACTTCGCTATCTCTATTGTAGTTATCACGGACTTCCAAGTTACAAAGACGGCGAAAGTCTTTACATCCGGATTATGGGCCGAGTGTTGGAGTAGCAAGCCCCAAGCAACTGCCGAGAACGAGCGAGGACGGTGATACCTGCAACCTAGCCTAGTTGTATATTTCCGTTGCCCGGGCTTGTTTCGAATTACGACTTTGATGTAAAGACATCGGCCATATTTGCTATCTACGTGCTTCGTGTGATGGTAAAAGCAAGGACGCGCCTGCACTAGTCGGTTGGATAATTATTGTAGGCAATGGCTACGTAATTGAGCTGTTCGGAGACCCGGTGATCACCCCATCGGTCAAATTTGATCCATGGTTGTGATCCCTTGAGTGGCTCTAGCGATGGCAGAACATAGTTACAAGGCTGGTGATCTACTATTGACAACTTGGTACAGTTGGCGATACAGTCACTTCTGCGCTCTCATGTGTTTGATCAAATTGCAGGAACCAAATGCGCATGATGAATTATTGCTTTCTAGGTCCTTATGACTCCATGCACACACTTCCACCTTAGTAGATTTTACTTGATCAGCATAGCAGCAAAGTCGTGCAAAAACTGTCAGCGGCCTTTCTTCTTCCAACCCTTTGCATGCCATTTGCTTGCGCGATTGGGGAAGAAGTCGACCAAATCATGCAGACTGGCATCATGGGCAGCGATGACGAAGATGTTGGGGTCTGCATCAGACTTCTGGATCGCCTTAAGAGTGTCACGGGCATCTTGTAAGTGCAAGGCCATGACCAGCTCGCCCGATAGTAATGCATCATGACACAAAGGATGAGTAGATCGCTTATATAATGCTACACGAGGAAGACAGTTGTACGCCTTTGTGGCGCCCCTCGCAATAATTGTACAATGAACCAAAATCGCGACATATCCTGAAGTGAATCTGAGCATTATCTGGTATCCAGTATGTACTAGCTCAGGATGCAATTGGAAATGTCGAATTCAACGCTCATGTCGCCACATAGAGGGCAAACAGATTAGGTGCACTAAGAAACATCCAATATTAGTAAACGCAAATGCTAGTCTTCAGAACAGGTACTCTGCTTACGCTGTAGTAAGGAAGGTCGGTCTTCCAGGAGTACTCGGTGCAGGGTCCGGAGGGGGTTTCGTAGCACTGAAGTTACAGTAATTAGAACACCACAGTCTTTGTACGGGGAAAAGTACGTACGATCCATCCACCGCTACCAGGGACCTGGCCCGTGTTCCAGGTCAACTTCTGGTTGGAGTAGCACGGGCTAGGAGCCGCTCTCGCCTCAAGAGGGGCGGCAGCCACATCCACAGCGGGAGCAGCCACTGCAAGCGAGGCAAATACGAGAATTGCGTTGAAAAGCTGCATCGTTGCGATAAAGACTGGAGTTTTACGGAATGATTGTACAATGTTCTGATGGCTGAGAGAGTTGAATTAGTTGCCTCGGGTGGGAGTTACCATCGTCTTATGTATCTGCACTTGAACTCCAGCTACATAGTCTGAGGCGATCTTAGGCCGCCAAGAGGAGTACCAATCTAATCACGAGGGTGGGAAAAGTATAACTTATGAGCCTCATGTCCCAGTTTCACGGGAGAAGCATACTAAATGATGTATGGGTAGCTCCTTCTAATTACCGGTACTACTTCTCCTCGAGGCGGTAGGGTAGTCCGGAAGGCATGAATCGCACTGGTGGGGTTGGAGCGGCGGGCTTCTCCATGTTATTGCGGCAGTGTGGCTAGAGCCTGGGTGTACGTACGAGAGGTCTCCAGCGTGCATTTTCCCCCACCATTCACATAATTGTAGCTGCAGTGCGGTAAGTTCATCCCGACTGAGAAGGCTAATCCTGGGAATAGATCGAATCATGGAAATTACCACGGGGAGAACCCGCGTTGGCAAGCATCGCTAAGGCTTGCCATTCATCTACGTGAATAAAGTTAAGAGATTCTGGCTCTGTATGTATCCCACGACTGCCTATATTTACGACGAAAGTATCCAACGGCAAGTGAAACAGGGGCCACTGCGTGTGACTCGTGGGTCGCGACTCGTTAGTGTGGAGTATTACTCCGTACTCAAGATGGGTTCCGAAGCTTCGGTCTCGGATTTCTATGAAAGCCGGCACCACCAGCTTCAACTCAGAGTTATATTGCGCGGGCGCCTCCCGTCTCGTACGTTCATCGCTCGCGCCCCTTCAAATATTCCCCCACAGACACTGAGCCCTTGATTGCTTGACCTGCTGTTTTCTATCCGTGATTTTGTCGGAATGTGGAAGTCCAATTTGACTTTCGAGTCAGGAGGCCCGCAAGAACCACTCCAAGCTTTTTACAATTACAGAATATCAAAGGGGGCTCCAACGAGTAATAGTAGGCAAAGGCGGAAATAATAGAACAGGCCAGGCGCATAGTTGAGTACGTGGTTACCTGCCTAGAGTCTGGCCTCACAGGCATCTAGATCCATGGCGAACTTTCTAGCCTGACGGAAATAGGACCTCGTACGTCCACAATTATACCGGCGGGGAAACGCACCTCGCCGATAACAGTCCTGGATTTTCCAGAGGCTCACGAGAAGCGAGTAGGTTTTCGTTGCTTCCTAGTCAACAGCAAGCCGAGCGGTAGATGAGGCTTTGCTGCTCAGTCGCGATACCTGGAGAATCCGAGCCCAGAGCGCCATGGTCATGCTACCAATAGTACGGCCTCTGTCGAGGTAGTACTTACTTGTGGTCTTCGGTGTCCAGAGTAGTACCTGCCCATTCTTGATTATGGTTCTTAGGAAGCTGGCTGACACTTCAAGATCATTACTCCTCAATGATCCATCTCATCATGTACTTCTCGACCTCATGTGTTCCCCGATACGTTTCCGCTAACCCCTCGTTGCCCACGATTCCAAGCTCGTTCTCGTGTTGAACGATTTTCTCGGACCAGTAGTCGTTATCGATGGTCCAGGTTCCAAGATCCTCAAACCCCAATTTCTTATACAGTCCATATCCTTCAGCCGAAGCAACAAGGAAAGTCGGAATCTTCTCATCGTCACTGATGTCGATGACCGCCTTGAGCAAACTTGCTCCAATACCCTTCCTTTGATGATTAGGGTCCACCATTATATTTTTCACATCTGATATCGACGTCAGCACATTCGTCGGCGGTCGGCGCCCAGATCACATTCTGGTCACTGCCAGCTTCAAATCATAGCCCTTACAATTATGTCGCCGTCCATCCACTGCCTTTTCGTAACACTCATCCATTTCTTCCTCTCTCGGATGGCCAAAGCGCTCCCACATCTCCTTCATGTGAGGTTTGATTGAGAAAATGAATGGCACGGTGGGCTCGGTATCCGCACTTTCCGTCGGCTTCGCCAGTGTGGTAGCAGCAGGCGGCTCTGTCGCATCGACGACGTGGTATCTGATGAAACCTACAACGGCATGTGTGCCGGGTACGACGGCGATCAGGAAACGATTCTTGGGATTCTTCAAAGCGAGTCGCGTTGAAAGTGGGAGAATGTCTCGCGGATGGCGCTCGAAGAACGTTGCGTAGAAGTCGTGAAATTGCTCGAGAGCTGCATAGTGTATGGCTGCAATGGCATCTGCATCTGCCTCGGTTGCTAGCTGGATATGAGTTGGCGGTTGCGGTGCCATCGTGATAGACGCAGCACTGTTTTTGATCGAACAAGATAGACGTGGGAATTTCTCAATGAGAGCTCTCTGATATAGTGACGCAAGCTGATGTGAGGTTTTTATGCGAGGCTTCAGGCTTACACGCTACGAAGGTGCTTACCTTTTGCACTCAAGACCGGGGGGGAGGGGTTGTTCACGGAGATTGTCGCGCCAATCACTTTCGGTTAGCCGCTTTTCGGCTGTACGGAGTGTAGATTGGTCCCGGGGTGCGGAGCCTACCGGATGACTCACCGGCCGGACCTATACCAATAGGCTACATACCCTATTTTCAAAGACAGCTTGCATACTCGACTTGATAGGCGACCTATCCTTGCAAGTCGTTGCGATAGCCTCGACACCAAGGTTAACAAGGAATCTAGTCACCCTTTTATGATGATGGTCGAAAAGGTGTCAACTCTCAGGAGCTACTAAGATCCCTTCTGACAATATCGGAGAAAGGTAGTTGACCATCAGCTTGAGACAACTGCCTGCCCTTAGAAAGCTCAAGGTATCGTAAATCAGCGCTTGAGGACCTTGATGTAAAGCCTACATCGCAATCAAGGTTCGGAGCTACCATAGACCAAAAGTGTTACGCCAACAATTACCATGCCCTTTCTCCGTTTCTCCAAAAATAACTGCACAAGAACTATATAATGGGCTCTTCTGGGAAGATTTCTTCATTCTGCGCTCAAAAAGTTGATTAACTACACCTACCAAATCTGTATCTAGTCAAGCAGTTTTCAAATCTGTCATTATGGACAGCCCAACAAAAAGTAATGGCGAACGAAGAGATGAGATTCATACTGCTAGTCTTGCCAAAAGTCAAGGAGCAGTTGAAACACTGTCCTCTTACCTCTCACTTCAAACCATTCTGGACCCCTGTTCACTCCTGAGATTACAAGAAGGCCAGATTGCTGAGCGCCGAACCGAGGAACTTGAACACATCGGCGAAGGATTTTGCGCCACCATCTACGACTTCGGCAGCACCGGCCAGGTAATCAAACAGGCAAAAGAGTCACGGAAACTCCCGGAATTACTTGTCGATTATGTTGCGCATCGGAAGATTTACGCCGCCGGCCTACACATGGCGGTACAAGTCTGCATTCCTCGTCCAGCAGAGTTCATCAACCCGGAAAAGCTCGGCGCTTGGTATAAAGAAAACAGAGAATCGAGCAAGCTGCCGGATAACCGATCTCTCGTCAGCAGAAACATGGCGATCCTCGTATCTGAGCGGATTCCGGCACTACCTCTAGAGATTCGCAACGCCATCATCGAAGTTTTCTGTCCCAAAGAGCAGAGAGTGGCTGCTCGTGCTATCAGAAGGAACAACAACTGTCTTGCTCGACTGTACCTGGGCCGGCGTCGACAGAATACCAGAGTTGAGGGAGGCTTCGAACTGCGCAACTTCGAAATGACCTTGGATAAGTTGGAGATCCTCAACCTCGACCCACTTCAGTACGTGGCACCGATGGCAGAGGCCTTAGCAGTGATGCATTGGGAGACCAAGCACGATGCATTCGATGTCGAGTTCGTCCTCGCCTCCTCGCCGAGACCGACAACTCGAACCGCAGAGTGGGCATCGATCAAGACGACACGGGAACCCGTTGATGGCTCCGAGTCTCATCAGAAGTCGGTGCAGGTTTGGCTTCTAGATTTCAACCAGGTGGGAGAGATCACCATGGACAACAAGGGAGTGGGAAGGGCAGTGAGGGGATTCTGGGATAATGATCCGTACTACCCCAGGCCAGCTACGGAGGAGGACTCGCAGGACACTACCGAGGCAAAGCTGTGGCGTAAATTCAAGCAGGTGTATCTGGCGACCTCGGCTAAGATTCTGAAAGACAATACACTAGCCAAGGTCTTCATCAAGGCAGTCGAATTGGAAGGCAAGAAAAGATTAATATGCCCTCCCGTGCTTCAGGGTCCGCCGAGAGCATCGACAACTATATCTATACCACTACGATCCGCCGGCAAAAAGAAGCAGAGGAGTTATGTCGACTTCAATGACTAATGAGCACCCATTAGAAGGAAGTACTTATCATAGGATTGTACTAGTTAGGTTCAGGGCCTCGAAGGCATATGAAAGGTTCGAAAATTCAAGATACATAGCTTTAGCTCTCAAAAGGCTGTACTAGAAGCAGCTTCGAACCCCAAACTTTAGAACCTGAATCACTAAGAATTAACATACCCAACCTGACCACTTGACCAAATGCCCCGTCACTTGACTAGAAAGGCACGAGGTACCTGGCCTGCCGGCGGGGCTCGATCGTGCAGTGGGGCCGGGAGAACGGGTGGAATTTGCTCCACCGCCGTGAATCACTTGATGCCGAACAAAGGCTCACCGGGAGGTACACGCTCAATAGGCCATTTCAAAGTGCATTTACAAGTGTTTCTAGAGTGAGCCTGTTCGGAATACAAAAAAGAAAGGCTTGGCTGGAACTAACTCACCCTCGCCGCACTCAGCGCTGGATCTGCTCCCGGCGTACCTCAGAACATCCCGTCGAAAACTGAGGCCAATGTTGAAAATTACGCACACTTTTAGAATTAAATATAGACTCCAGGCCATCGAGCATTGTCTTTCCGGACTCTCGCATTTGACTATGCCCGGCGATAACTGTCCTGCAGCCCCACCTTTCTGAGGATGCTCAACACGATCAACAACGATTACTGCACCCGTGACACGCTTTGGTTAAATTCGGAATCTAAGCACCGAAAAAAGCATTCCCTTCTTTCTTCTTTCCCACAACAACTTTAACTAGATCCTATCTTTCGTGGATGGGTGTATCCTAACGATGCTCCATCCTCCCTGATATGGTTCAACACCTTCGCGGGTGACTACCTGAATGCCCTGTCTTCTCCATCACCTTCTATATCAGGATGTAAATTCGCATTCGATTTTTTGAAGGGTTGTGTTACACATTTATTCAAGAAATTTAAATCAATCGACTAATATTACATCTGATTGGCCTCACTATTGATACCTGTAAGAAGATAAGCTTTAGAACAAGACCAGATAAAACTGCTCTAATAACACCGCCAGGCACTGATTGGACGGCCCTCCCTCCGACAACTAGTGTAGAACTACAGGCAATATAAGTATTGATCTCTACAGAACGGAGACCATTTTCCTTCCCTCGTTGTTGTGTCCATTTCAACTTGGCTGATACTTTTGACAACGCGGGCTGATGGTCACGGTCAGCCACACTGCCGAGAAGAGGACGGACGTGTTGATGACGTCTGGGCAAAGCCAAATATGCTGAGATTTCCCGGCGCTTGTTGGTCCAAAGGGCTACGTGGTACAGCGTGATCTTCGAGATAGATGAAGCTACTCAATGCGTTGTCGGCGACTGGAAGTCAATTTTTGGCGCCCCTCGAGCTCCGCCGACTTGGCCTTCTTAGCACTCGGCAGTTTTGAAGCAGAGATCGTGCTCTCATTGAAACGTACTGGCGACTGACACTAGCTGCGCAGCCAAACCAGTAAGAGACTCAGCAAGGCTAGTCCTAGCAAGTCCTTTCCAACCCACGTGTTCACTTCCTTACAGTCACGGCAGTCAGCTGGATCTACGCAATGTCGTCGGCCGAAACCTGTACTAGAAGGGATGTCCAAGAACATCTGCATGGGACAGGTTACAATCAACGCACGAGAGCATATTCCAATCAAGAGCTGGCACCATCTCGTCTAAAGTATGTAGAATTCCCGGATCAGCAATACGATGCAGATAGTGGCACTACTTTCCTGACAAACGCTCAACCTGCACCTCGGGAGAGACGGGATGGCACAGCCCATAGAAGTCGAATGCTATCCAACTTTCACGTTCAATTTGACCAAATGCAGACAAATGTCAACGCAGCATCGTCCAATGGAACACCCTACAAGCCATGCGATCCCATTTCCAGTCGAACCAAGAAACCCAGCGAAACTATCATTTCTCGAGAGCGGCTGCCGTCCCCGACAGGAAACCTTATTACAAGAAGGTTTTCATGTAACAGTCGAGGTTTTGCAGTAGTCGTATCTGCCGACCCCTCCCCTCCCACATTGGCGTCGTCGCGCTAATCAATAACAGCTCAACCCCCGCCAGGTTGCATCGAAGTAAGGGGATCAACCCCGGTTCCGTACCCTTCTCGATGGCACACTCGACGTTACTCCAATCACACGGCGATGTCTCTCTTCAAAAGTTCAATCAGCATTTGCTTGTTGTTAAGCTTCTGAAGTGTTCCCCCGCTCGGACCAAAGCTCGGGTACTCTGTATCCAAATCTGTATATGAATAGCCCGTGCCATGTCGCGGCTTCTTCGAGATGAACCTTTAAGACTCCAACCGCCACGTTTTTGAACTACTATTGAACAGAAGCAAACCGGATTTTCTTATCTTTTGCAAGAGTTCAGTCTCTTTGCGCAACGTCAAAATGTCTTATAACGAATCATCCAACATAGGGCGAGACCGCGAGATGAAAATACGGATGGCACAGGAGGCCAAAGCTGTCATCGAATTTGAAGAGGATCCTCATCGCGCAGCGCTGGAGGATAACCCATCCGAGGCAAAAGTTGGCATCAAAACATGGATCGCAATTTTTGTGAGGCTTTTGGATCTCCCCAGTCTTTCTGGTGCAGTCCAGCTAACATGCATAGTCTATGGCTTTGTCATTCGGTCCATGTGTTGGACTTGCGTTCCTTACCGTCGCCGCCGTCGTCGTGCAAATTGCTACAGAGCTCGGCGGACAAGACCAGTTAGCTTGGCTTGTAGGAGCATGGTCTCTTTCGACAGCATGCTCCTTCTCCCTCGCTGGGCCTCTCAGCGACGTGTTCGGCCGAAGAATGTTGGTCATTGGTGGCCAAGTCACAGTTGTCATCGGCTCCATCGCCGCGGTGGCCGCGCAGAATATCGGAACGCTCATTGCCGCTGAGACACTCATCGGCATCGGAACTGGCTTCGTTTTCGTCTCCTACGCAGGTGTGCCGGAGATGCTCCCAAACAAGTGGCGTTCTCTTGGTCTGGGTATCTTGGAATCTGGCATCGCTGTTCCCTGGTGAGTCTGAACATCTGAACATCTGACCCTTCTTTTCCCGTGTTCCGTGTCGCATGGTTCGAACGCCTCCCCGAGTCAAGGAACTCTGTCTCTTACCCCAAATTCTCGGCACATATATCTGGGTGCCGACTTCAGGCGCCCTGCCGACCACACCTCCTTCACAGATCTAGACGTGGGGAATCCCCGCACTTCGACTAATCGATCAAACCTGGGGTGTTCGTCTGCCGAGAAAGAGCCAAGGTAGCTGACATTTAGAATTCACAGGGGCATCCTCTCCGTCCTACTCGGCAATGCATTTTTCAAGTACGCTTCATGGAGATGGATATTCGGCCTAAGCATCATTATTGAGGTCATTTCCATCGCCGGCACTTGGTTCTCTTACCACCCAACCCCGCGACCCCGGGGCGACTTTGACAAGACTCGCATGCAACAACTCAGGGATGTAGACTGGATTGGTCTGTTTCTGTTCACGGCCGGTCTAGCCATTGCCCTCATCGGCCTGACATGGGGTGGCACCCCAGCCTACCCGTGGAATAGCGCCGGCGCCATCGCACCCATCGTCATTGGCTTCGCGGTCCTGGCCGTCGGCTTTGCGTACGACTTCAAGGTTGCTGCTCATCCGATGTTCCCATTGAAGCTCTTTGTCATGTTCCGTCGCTACTCCGTCCTTCTTGTTGTCCTCTTCGTCTCGGGTATGAACTTCAACTCCATGTCAGCCCTCCTACCCCAAGGGTTCCTGTACATGTTCACGACGGACGGCATTGAGATTGGTGCGCTCTCACTACCCAACACCCTGATGATTGGCTTCACTGGTGTTCTCGCGCCTCTCATTGCCCACAAGGTTGGCTATATCAAGTGGCAACTTGTCATCGGCATGGCCTTCCAGGCAGTCTTCATCGGCGCCAGTGCTGCGACTGTCTACCCCAACCACAAGTTTGCATATGCCTTCATTCCTGCTTTTGGTGTACCCATGTTCGTCTGGGTCACTATCTTGTCCTATGCTGTTGCCAGTCTCCACGTTCCGCACTCAAATCTGGGAGTGGCGATGGGCCTGTTAGGTACCTTCAGATCAGGAGGCGGCGCGGTTGGCAACGCTATCTTTAACACAATCTTCCAAGAAAAGTTCCGCGCATTCGCTGGCGAAGAACTCACCAACGCAGCCATCAGCAACGGTCTGAACCCTTCCGACCTTGGTATCATTATTCCCGCGGCGATCGAGTTCAACTTGGGCAACCCTCGGGCATTGGTCAATGTTCCGGGTATCACTCCAGAGATCCAAGATGCTTTGAGAGAGGCCGTGCGAGAGGGAGCCGGACACGCCTTGAAAATCGTGTTCTACATCACCATCCCTTTCAGTGTCATTGCCTTGATCTGCTCTCTGTTTATTGAAGATCCCACGGCGTACATGACGAACCACATCCAGTCTGCTATGGGGCAAGAAATGGCCCAGAATCGTGGGAAGCGCGCTACCACTCCCGAAGAAGGCCAAGCGATCGAGTTTGAGACCGTCAGAACGGTTCACTCGGAGCAGATTATGGGAAAGAACTGAGAATGTCACGTTGAATCAAGACGCTCAGGATACGGGACACCGGTCCTGTCTGCATTTATAAACGCTCAGACATGGGGAGACGTAATATTTAGAATCAATATTTAGGATGGTATTTATTTTACACGGATGAGTCAATAGCCTGTCCATGCTTTGCACATAATCTTCCAACCGAACAATTGAAGCCATACCTCCTCGACTAGTCATTCTTCCCGTGGGTAGGTATAGGTAGCTGGCATGTGGAGGCAGTCTAAGTCTAGACTGCCGAGTGTGGGGCCGAGGAAGCCGGCAGCTGATCGGGATTGGCTTCACCCTTGATTTCTCTCCGAACTCCAGGGAAGTTTTGTTCGCAACCCATCTGCTTCTCATGGAATCTCAAATAGAATAGCAGGAACCAATTTCAGAGATCTAGTATTTGCTGTCGCAAGCACCAGTTCATTGCGAAGTTCTGAACAGATAGCGTTAGAGCCCATGAAGGAAAGTCATTGCGTTCGAGAACGATCTCCCTCGTGAATAATTACTCCAACACCCGACTACGAATCACAATCTTATAGCGACGACATACGATACCAACTATACTATTACGAGATCCTCCATCGGTAGGAAGGTAGAGGATATGTAAACTGAGCCATGCTCAACTCAAATTCATTATCTGCATGTCCAGCGAGTCCCAACGCCTGGCCCTAAATATTCACATAGGCCGTCTAGCCCTCTCGACCCGCTGGCATTGAATGGTATATAAAAGGAAGAGAATACTCCAATGCCCAAGTCCTCGTCACGCCCGTAACCTCGTATTGCTGGTTCATTCTATCGCTCTGTTTTCATCTTCTTCCATGGTCGTCTGGAAGTTGGGCTGGACCGTTGGGTGATGCGTGATGTCCCGAGTCCAACTCATACCGGGCCTCGGTAGGGGCTTCGTAGATTGGGTTCGTGTTGGCTTCAGCAGCATAAGAGTGTGGCTGTGTGTGACCGAGAACCTTTGACTCTTGTCCGCCGTAGTAATCGTTGGCTGGCGATGGCGAAGAAAGTGCTGAGGCGTTGATGGTACCCGGGCTGTGCTTACCGCCAACTGTGCTGCCATCGTGGCCAAGCTCGTGGTGATGTTCGCTCGGCTCGACGACTACCTCCTTCTTGGCCTTTCTCCGACGCCACCAGAAGAAGAACCCGGCGCCAAGTAGCGCGATGGCTCCGAGGGAGACGCCCACACCGATGCCGGCGGCGGCGCCTGATGATAGCCCCCCTGAAGACGATCCTGCTACCGCAGTGGAGCTCGCGGTGGCAGATCCGCTGGTTGCTGTAGGAGTGATGGCGCCCGATCCTGTTCCGGTTGCTGTGGCTGTTGCGGACCCGGTGCTGACGGGTGTAGTCTGGAATTTGGAGTTAGAGTACCACTCGATCGTGTTGTGGATTATAGAGAAAGACTTACGCCCGCTGAGTAGATGGTAGAGTATGCACCATCGTTGACAGCTTTTGAACTTGTCATGATCCAGTGCTGAGCAGGTTGACGAGCTGAAACACCGTCGGAGCCCTCGATCTCGCTCGACATGAAGAGGTTGGATCCGGGGTGAACATCGAGCACGTAGCCTGTGCCGTTTGCAACGTTCGTGAACTTGTAGGTGCCCGGTTCACTCGCCCACTCAGTGACGTCCCATTGCTGAGTCTCGTCCGATTCCGTTTTTCTCAAGCACCCTCTTGTGCCACTAGGATGAACCTCCGCCGAACTCCAGCACACAGAAAGCTGTTGGCTCACGCCGGCTGAGCTTAGTCTCATAAGATACCGGCCATCGTGGTTTGGCACTGGTTGAAATTGCCATACCGCGTCTGTCTTGCCGAAGACCCTGAGGCCATTGTTGGTATCCTGGAGGTTGTTGTCGAGTGGTGTTGAAACGTTCGCAACGCGCCCCTCCGAGATGGCGTACCAGACATTCGAGTCCAGCGATACGGCCGACATCGTTGTTGTCTTGTTGTCGACTTCTTAAATAGAGGATGCGGCGACTCGACGGTTATCGTCGACGTGCTCTCGGTGGTGTAGCGTTCGGCGTCTTCCAGCGTATCTGCGGTGTTCGCAGGACGACGAATGAGACTCAAAACGCCGAAATTAAGCCAACATCAGAATGATCACACTCAGAAAGCGATTTTTCTCAGAACAAGCAAAATAGAAGGGAGGAAAAGGATTCAAAAGGACAGGAACCCAAGGAGGCTTGCAGGGGCCCCCGGACGACGTGCCGACCCCATTATTAAAAGGCATCAGCATTGAGGGCGGCAGGGGGTCAGATTGACTACACCAACTCAAGGCGGAGAGGAGCGGGAGACACACGCCAGTCGACGGGTGGGCTGGGGATTGGCTTATTTGACACTCCGCCCCTTGACGCCACGAACCAATACATGAAGGATCATCGTCTCTTGAGGTGGCTCTGCGGCGGTAAATTAAGTCCCCTACTGGCCGACGAATGGTTGGGTACAACGCTGCCGGTGCATCTGTGAAACTATGTGGTCTGGTATCGGAAGAGACAGACAGGCGACATAAGCACGCCAAAAGATCACACCAAAGTCCCGTTAGGACGTGAGACAACATCAGATGGGCCAGCCTTTCAGGCTATGTCCTCTCCCCGTTTCGTGGAAATCCTTCAGGCCCACTCGCGCCGGCATTTGCTTGGCAAACCTGGGCGTCATCCTTTTTGCTCAATGAAGCAAAGATGGTCGCGGTTCTCGAGATAACCGCAACATGGGAAAGGGAAAGGCGCTTTAGCGTCGAAGCTCCGCGGCGTCAAAGCCAACTGTAAATTCTCTTAACCTTCACGAAGAGTCAGCCACGCGACCGTTGATGACAAGAAGCGAAACAAACATCAGAAACCAGAAAAGCCGGAAAACAAGAAGTCGGCGGGCGGTAACCGCCACTCGAAATATAGCAGCGGGAGCTCGAGAAACCGAGCCAAACCGCTTGTGGGCGCAATTATAAGTTAGTAAGCGCTAGCAACTCAGCCCTGTCTATTTGGGGGCGCGAATGGGTCGTCGAGGCAAACCTGCCATCAGGGAAACCCCCAGCTTGGTCGTCATCCCTCACATTCGGCCATGATTGGATAAGATGGGCGACAACCGCGGCCGTCCGCAGTCGGAGCTGGGACGCTGATCAGTCTGCTCGGATGAGAAAGTCCGATGAACCTCAAGCAACTGAGGAGATTATGGGCACGGGAATCCCCCCTTCGGCCCTTCGGGTTCCCGTCGGGGTCAATCACGTAAACTGGTGCAATCAATGGATGTGCATTGTGATAATTTGCACCCTCGTGGCTCTGAGATTTTGGCCCGTGAGGAAAAGAGGAGAAGTTCTTTCCTACTTAACATACTATCTGGGACCCCAGGTTATATACCCGGGATAATTTAGTACCCAAAAGCCATATGCATGCTCGTGCATTTTGGCTGCCCAGTGCCGAGGGCACAGCAATATCCCAGGTGCCTGCCAAGCTCGTGCTCTGTTTCCCTGGGGTTTTCCCGCAAGTTGAGAGCCACGCGAGAGTTGAGCTTACTGACGCGAACGCGAGCTCAATGTGCTGATTTCTGTTCGTACTGAGCTAGGTACCGAATATTAGCAGCATCCCAGCATTAGCGGTGTCTGCTGGAGTCGCTCATCCTCCTTTGGTGATGACAGCAATACCACCATCGGGCCGCCACGTCCATGGAATGTATTGGATGATCCTTCTCGGTTCTACGTGACAGGTCAACGGATGCCGCCAGGTCAGAAATCCACCATTTCATGATGACCAAGCTGTGACTGCCAGTTATGATCAGTTCCCCATGTTTATTCCCGTACATGCAATTACCGCCTATTCCCGGGCTTGATCCCGCTCCCATTTTGGGTAGCTCTTTGTCGACAGCCGCGAAAGGGGAGGTAAAGGCACATGCATATCAGTTCAGGCCTGGGAAGAAATGGTCTTGGTAGGTCTACGGGTTTGGCCTGCTCGCATTCGTTAAATCCGACGAAGGAAGGCGTTTGCGACTGCTCCCCCTGAGGTGGCCCGATGGATCGGAAAGACACAGCTTCCAAACCTAGGAGCTTAAGAGTCCAGGACAGCAAATTTTGGCGCTTGGGGCTTTGGGGTTGGCGGCGGTTCTCATGCAATAGCCAGGCCTCGTCCTCCTGAAGTAGATTGAACCCAATCATGCAATGAGAGCCGAACTCAATAGAGCTGCCTACTACGTAGTCCGATCTACCTCGCTTTTGCCCCATTTTTCAACTTCGCTTACGGTCCGGAGCAGTCCTCGATTTGGAGGATCATTGACTTGGCATCAGCTCCAGCGGATGCCTTTCCGGCTGACTGCGTCGCTCATTTCCACTGTGGCAATAGAAGCTGGCTTCGTAATGGCACGCAGTTCCTAAGCGCAGCCGGGAAATTTGGCATCGTTGGCGAAGACTATCTCTCGGTTGGGCTTCTTGCTACGAATTTCCATGACCTTAAGTTGTTGAATACTAATTGGGAACACACATTGGCGACAGCAAGACTCGGCATTCACCGAGCTAATCCAGCTGTCTGAGATACAGGTTCCAGCAGAATGGTGGGGCTTTCGCTCTGATCTTACTCGAGATCATTTGATCATATGAATAAGTCTCGGCCGCTGTGAGAGTGAGCTTACCAGATAACCCCATGTCAAGAAGGTAATCATTTCTGTAATGCCGTATATTCGTCGATAGCCTTATCAGATTTACAAACATTTGCATCTATTCATGCAAAATCTGTACCTACCCTAGTCACATCGTTAGAAACCGTCCCTTCATGCTGAAGTATCAAGCTGATACCGACCTCTGACAGCGCACTTCCATTTAGCCAAGGAAAATTTTCCTTAGATAGGTGTCACGAGGGAAACCTGAGACAGTAACTTATCATCCACATCTTCGGTACGCATCGCAAATGCATCATCGAACAGGAATGGTCTTTAGCGTTGCGGCAGGAAAGTATTTCTTAACTCTGCCGTTGACGTCTGTTGGTTCATTTAGTGACATGCTTATTGCTCATTCAGCGAAATTATCATGGAGAGTTCTGTTTACCCTGCGTTCCCTCTTGTCTTTGCCGCGCCTGTACTTTTCCAAAGTCACAATGTTGCAAGGCCTCGTGGTCGAAACAGTATTGAACATCGAAACTATCTCCAAATCACTTGCTTTCTCTTTCTAGTAGAGTTGACCACCATTCAGGAACATTTTTCTTCCAAATAATTGGCGTTAATCTCGCAGTGCAATTCTGGTTCAGCTACTAATACCGAGTCTCTTTCCATATCTCAAGGTCTAGGCTGCTTTACCTTGAGCCATGAGTTCAAAGGTTGGAGGCCCTGTGAATACTATGAGTAAATGCACTGTTCGCGAAGCTGCAGTCTGACTCGCCTGGTTAATAGTCACAGCTCTCGTATATGAGATACACGTTCCAACATCACTAGCAGATAGATCGCCAGGCGTGGAGTCATCTGCGTATCCTGAACTTAGAATCATCGGTAACCGGGACTAAAAATAGATGCAGGTGACTACTTAGGTTAAGTGCAAGAAGACAACTAGGTGTGACTTAAATTTCGGAAGCAATTTATTTTATCAGGTAGTTGCTACCCTCAATTAGGCGCTGACTCTAAGGATAGCCAAGAGACTGCGTTGGCCGAGATGGTACCAAAACTCGGTATCAAATGCATCTAAGGCAATCAAACAGATAGTAAGCCCTTATCAAGTTACGACTGCTTGAGGATGTGATAATGCTTTCGATAACAACGATAAACACTCGCTGTTTACGTGCTCGAAGCTAGCAAAATACATGAATCTTTCACTAAGAAAAGTGCTTCTTATCCGAAGGGCTTTAATCATGTTGCAACCCCACCGTAAGGTCTCGAGAAGAGGGACGCCTGCCCTATGTGCAATCGACGAAAGCTTAGAGGACCCCTACCATTTATCATGGGCTATCACTTTAATTTGTGGTCTAAATCGAAATGCCCTTATCCGAGCATGTCCGGATACTGCACTAGAAGACCGAAGTTTGTTGGAATTGAGCTCCACGTGAGACGATTTCAAACTCGCCCAACATGATAAACCATGCATCAACATTGCAGATCGAACTATTCAGTTAGGGTACAGCGTAGATATGCGGCATTATTACCCTATTTCGTGTATAGCATGCAGAAGAATGCATCAAGTCAGCAGATAACTCGATTCATGTCGTGTCTTCTGTGCCCAGTTTTGTTGGCTGAGAGATTTTGCACCATACTTGAGAGAATTAATCTTGAAGAAAAGGGGTTGAGTTATCATATTGCATTTAACATCGCTCAACACCCACATTCTCTTCCATACCTCTCACCAACAGTTTCTGTGACATGGACTCATCACAAAATGCCTGAGACACACGAAGTCATTGTCAAATACGCCTACGACCATATCTCAGAATGGTACCTGCAGCGGGTCGATAGTCAAAAATCACCGCGGGAGAAATACACCAAGAGGCTCCTTGAGGGTCTGCGAACCTCGCCTACTATCCTAGAGCTTGGCTGTGGTCCTGGTGTCCCTATCTTGAAGATGTTGCTCGATTCGGTGCACGAGTAGTCGCGAACGACATCTCAACCAAGCAAATCGAATTGGCCAAGGCACGTTTCCTGAAAGCCACACTAGTTGCAGGCGATATGACAGCACTCACGTTTGACCCTGAGAGCTTTGCTGGAGCCGTCAGCTTCTACACGCTATTTCACCTTCCGCGGTCCAAACTCAAGGCTATGCTCACCAGGATTCAACAATGAATCAAAACAGATAGTTGGCGGGAAATAAGCAAACTGATCTGCGGTATTGCAATCAATCCATTCAATTTCACTAGAGCACAGTTATCGAAAATTGCCTACTCTCAAGTGACTCGACACCAAAGCTTTTCCCCAAATGACATGACTACTGGATGCTCTTCTCTTACTTAGCTAGGTCTCTTTCAAACAGCTTTGCTGTTGGTAATACCTCGAATTATCGGAAAGCCGCGGGAAACCGCCACTTCAGTGTCATCCACACGAACTTTGACTTAATTCGATGTGAAAACCTCTGGCAGCATTCTTTGTTCTCAACTGTCAACCTCCGTTTCGGCCATCGAGTGCTTACCGTTCTCTGGTGAAAGTCTAAAACTGACCTAAGAGCCATACAGTCAAATCAGATTTCTCTCGATTCGCGAATCGACTGTGCAATGGTTGACACATGTCTACTACTCCATAGCCTTGGAATATCGAGCACCTCATCGTCCTCGGCTGTTTGTCAAACTCCCTGGCAACTTTACCTTGGTCAATGTAACGTTCTGAAAACAAACATACTCAGACTAGTTTAGAGCTAGCGCTGTTCGTGTTTCACTGTTCCCCCACGCTTGGCTCTTGAAAGAAACACTACAGGCCAGTGCAAGATCTCCACATCTTCGACTCGTACCGGTCGAGCTTTTGGACATGCACCCTGGAACATGCCCCCCATAGAAGGGAGAATTTGGACACAGATCCCGTCTGTGGGCAGGATATTATTATCATATTAGCTTTGTCTACAGAGGCACATGCACTTTTACGCCATTCAAAAAGTCGCATGCACGCACCGTCACCGCCTTGGTGCAGGGCTCCCAACTGGTAAGGTGGAGATCGCACAACGTACAATTATTGAGCTTTGAGCTTGATGTTGATCTCTTCGGAGTAACAACCTGGATCGAGGAGGTCTAAAGACTTCTAGAGCTTAAAAGGAATTATGGTCGCATGGTAAGAAGTTATAAACTTGAACCTTCATGCATTGTGGCGCAACGAACTCGAGCCGTTTGAGCTGCCGGCATTTGGTCTAGCATAGCTATTAGCGGTCCAAGCCGTGGCGAAGCATCTAGTCTCTAGCCTACGGCCAACGGCTACGGCAGTTCGCATATCGCACGTTTGACTGTGTGGCCTGGCGCCTCCCGGAATGCGGAATGCGATGTCTTCTTTGTCATGTTGGTTGTTGCCCCGTGCATCCTCTGACTCTTTTGGAGCTTCAGGCCCAGGTCATCCGGAGGACCGGAACGTCCTTACTCCTAAAGAAGCTGCCTCGGCTGAGATTGAAGACAGTCCGGTACGGTAATGCTACCTTATGAGGGTCCTCCTTTGTCGATCAGTGGGGAAGCTTAGACTGTATTCTGTGCGGCATCGCGAGGGGCTATCCGGGTGATCATGGTGCCCAACGAGGGGTTTTGTCCTGAACTTGAAGTCATGACGCTTTCCATGTCGTCTTTCTTTTTCAAATCAATTTTTCGTCACATCTGCTGTAAGATACGTTCGGAAAAAACGACAGCCTCATGCATCCTCAGCTTGCAGATCAATGGCAAGTGTCCTCCCTGCATTATGGGAAAGCCATTCACCCTTCCAAACGATGCAAAAGTCAAAAGATCGACCCTGTAGATGTACCAAAAGCTGAGAGTTCAGACCCTCGATTCTCTTGAAAATACAGGGTCGTGAGACGGGATGCCACGGGGGTTATTGTGATGGTTTCTACTAGCGTTGTTTCCGTCTCAAATAGGGCGACACATCCTTGACTCGAAATTGACTCAAGAGAGACAAGCTCCAGCTTAGACCGCCATGATTGGCCTCCAAGTGGGAACTCTACAATCTCGAAGCCTCTTAGCCTCAGCTCTGCCCACGACTAGCCGTACAGTTTTGGAAAGCAAAACGTAGCGTGAGCGACGGTAAGGTTCTGACGGGATCTGTCAATTTTGCCAAGCATGAGACATACTAAGCACGGAAAAGGGACAGCGCCCACCGGTGTCGAATCTAAACCGTTGACACATTGAAGGATTCCTCACCTGTCTCCGTCCCTTTGGCTCTCTCGATTCGTTTTACATAAACTTCCCATGCTACCTACTCCAGAACCATTTGCACCAAGGGCTTGGAGCCTTCTTCCCTCTTCGCTGCCGTTGACTCTGAAAGAGAATATCACTCATACCCCGAGAACCCCGAACGCTCAACCTCAAGTGGACATGTGACCGTCATCAACATTCCATATTCACGATGAGATTTCCACCAACCGAAGTCATCTTGTCATGGCCGGCTCCAAACTATGTCGACCCCGTTCAAAGAGGACCGGCACTCCTCATTATCGAGCTGACATCGCTGAGCGTGGCGTTGATCTGCCTGGCTTTACGACTATACGTTCGGCTCTTCATGATACGAAGGAGCTGGTGGGATGACTGGCTAATGGTTGCTGCTGTAGTAAGTTTAACGTCCCGTGGAAACATCGGTCAAATTACCGAAGGCTAACTGCTCATTTCCAAGATCTTCTGCATATCCGTTACAGTATGCGTGATCCTTGGTATGATAGCCCAAGATTTGCGAGGCTCGGAGTCCACTGTTCAGAGGCACATGACAACTGACATATCCTGCAACAGCGACCCAACTGTACGGATGGGATCTCCACGTGTGGGACCTGACTCCCGTTCAACAAAGACTGGGCCGCCAGGTAAGGTTCATCGGGTTTCGGCAACTTAAGTTTAGGCAAGGAACTGACAAGGATAACACAGGTATCTATCGCTGGCCAAACTCTGTTTTTATTTGCATCAGGCCTCTCGAAGCTTTCTATCCTCACAAGCTATCTGAGAATAGCCCCTCTCGGATCATGGTTCCGAAAGCTGACGTGGGTTACTATGGGCTTCGTCTTCGCCTTGATGTGGATATTTCTTATCGCTCTTTGGACTCAGTGCTTGTAAGACAACCGCTTCTATCATGCCCTCTCCGGAGTAATGACTGACAACATCCAGACCCGCATGGCACTATTGGGACTTGTTCGTGGAGAACCGCAACTGTATCGAAGAGTGGCCACCTCTGGCAGGCCAAACCATCACCACGGTCTTGACGGACTTTGCCGTCTACATTCTGCCTATGCCTACACTATTCAAACTTAGGCTACCGATGATGCAACGACTTATCCTCATCATTCTCTTCAGTCTCGGCACAGTCGTTGTTGTGGCTGGGGTTATGAGGACATATTGGGCTCATTTCGTTGAGAAAGAGACTTACGATGTGACATGGGACGGGTTTGAACTTTGGATATGGACGGCTCTTGAGGCAAATCTTGCCGTGGTATGCGGATGCGTGCCCGTTCTTAGACGTCTGCTGCCATCCATGTCAGGTAGCAAGGACTCGAATGTGTCTGAAAGCGCGGCCCCGCCGACGATTGGATCTGGCAAGAGGCGTCAACAAAAGTTGGACGATCTTGAAATTGAGGTAGAGAGTCTTGCGCTGGATCATCCCAATGCAGCATCAACGACGGATGGCGAGTCTGCGGATATGCAGCCAGCGGGTTTAAGTCCTGGGTGGTCCCCGATACGGGATCCTTGGGGCAGGCCAAAACTTCAGCAGACCCACTTGGGGATGCACTGATAACTAACTTTACATGTTGCGTTAATAATCTTGTAATAATGTGCCCTCATCATTTCGAGATAGTGGGGGAAAGAACTTCACTGGATATGTCTTTTGGAAGAGGTAGCTAACGGATTGGCTCGTGCAAACTCACATGCATATTGAATCTCATCCGATGTTCTATACGAGAGCCATGCAATGTAACCCTTAGTACGGAGGAGCCGCATAGAAAGAGGAATGTAACACAGTTCTCGGATCCATTGGAAATGAGAAGAGAGAAGCAGAAACAGGAGGTGTATTACACCCGTAGCGTACGTACCTAGGTGATGTAGAGGCCCCAGTCCAGTCCCGAATGAGAGCTCATCAGGTCGGGTATCCGTCAACACACCCATTTACACGCTTCCATATCTACAAAAGCACAGGCCAAGATGTGGTTTGTACGATGGTTTTGAGTGTGCAAGGCGAAATCAAAATCCATCAATAGGAATCGAGGAGCTTGATTCTGACTTCCGTCAGCCAGTCTTGGCTTTCTCGCCCAAACATTGACGACTTCAAAGTTCAGGGATTCACCCGAGTTGCTAAAGAACATCTGAAGTGTATAAGAACGTGTGACATCAGGAGATTTAAATTTGAGTCAAGAAATTTGGCTACGGGTTTCCGGTGTTTGATGGATTTTGGTTCGATAATCACATGCTACTGCTTTCAGTTCGCCTGTTAAGGGCCGGGAAAAGCACTGGTCGATGTCAGGATTCTGTAGAGAAAGTCGGTATCCTGTCCAGGTATGGGAACGTTTGAGCAGTGAAAGATTTCTGCAATTTAAAATTGTTAGCAGTAGTACCATTTGTCCCGGCTTGATACCTCAACACAAGAATATTCGTTCGACCCAGACTTCGCCTTGCTTGGGTTCCCATAGCACTTGAAGCTAGCAACTCCGCTCGAGTTGAGCTTCAGCCACCCGATACGAGCCTACCAAATCTCTCACCAAGACGCTATAGTAGTAGCTATAATTGCCAGGATTTCAACAGGCCGGCCTGGACACGTGGAAGCATGGTCGATCCGTAACTGTATGCAACATGTTCACGCATGTGCCATCCATGCCGGATGCACGGGTTGATCCGACTACCTAACTTAAGCGATAACTCACCGTTCGGGTACAAAATTCGATTGCCGCTAATATCCTGTCACATAGGTTCGGCTCGGCCGCCAGACATGTTGACAAATCGAAAGCCAGCGCAAGCGGTTGAGGCAAGATTATGGTTGCATCGTCGCTTGATCATTCCATGTTCCTTTCGAAGCAACCACATTGTCTACTCAGTACAGACCTTTTCGTATTACCCCACAGCACGATATCTCGTGCCTGAATAAATCCCATGCCCAGACGAACCGTTCGCGATAGCCTCAAACTTACCTCTCCCATCTCGTATCTGTGGAGGAGTAGACGTTGATCATTTCCTCAGTGACTATTAGTCGCCCGTCCCCGCGAAAACCGCGTCTGAGTCGGCAGCGTCTCATTCGCGCGCCAATCGCCCGAGATGCGGGGACCCCAGTCCCTATAATCACCCCAGACCTCCCCGTCGCCCGTCACCATCGTCATCGGTTCTGCCCGTGTGTGGTCACGGCAGTTCTGGATCCCGTCAGGGGAAGCGGCTCGGTGCGATTGGCACGGGTGTAGTTCTTCAGGGCAATCTGCAGGCACAATGCAGGTTCTCATTAAGCGCAGGTTTGTTAGACACGGAAATTAGGGTTGCGAAGCCAAGACGCCAGGCCTTTGCCGGATCATGGGATCCTGAGGTGGTGCAGTTTGTGTAGCATTCACGACAACATTGATCTAATCCAATATTCTGCCATTGACAGGCGCACGAGGGCTGATATATAATGATGGAGCCACCTCCCAGTCGCAGATTCCAGAGCTTTGGGTCCAGCAACCTCAAGCCTTCCACTCGGCTCTCTTGAACCAGCTCAATCGCCTTTTCAGACTTGACAAGATGAGGTTCTCCGCAACCCTGGCCGTGGTGCCTCTGGGCGCCCGCTTTGCGCAAGCTGCCTTGGACGTCGACGCCATCACAGAAAAGTACTTCGGCAACGACGCGCCTTGGTACAAGAATCGTATCCCTCTTTTTGAGTCGAGCGATACGGAGATCACCGACGTCTATTACTACCGCTGGAACCTCTACCGAACTCACCAGCGCGATGTCGGTACCAAGTACGGCTACATCACCACCGAGTTCATCGATAACGTTGGCTGGCAAACGCAGCCATGGGCCTCCAACAACTGCGCCGCCATCTTCCACCTGTCCGAGGGCCGGTGGTGCCGCGATCCTCGCTTCAAGCAGGACCACGCGACCTTCATGTACAGCGCGGACAGCAATCCCCGTCAGTACTCTGAGAGCTTGGCCGACGGAGTCTGGAGAAACTATCTAGTTGATGGCGACCCGGCCCTCGCCATTTCTCTCCTCGACGATATGCAACGGGTTTACAACCAGTGGGTCGGAGACCACTATGATGAGGCCAAGGGACTCTTCTGGATCGAGCCGATTGCCGACGCCACGGAGTACACCATCTCGAGTATCGATGCCTCTGGCGGCTACGATGGATTCTTTGGAGGTCAAGCGTTCCGACCCACCATCAATACCTACCAATACGCCAATGCTCGTGCGATCGCCAAGACCGCCGCACTCAAGGGCGGCCTGGACAGCGTTGTGGAGGATTACAACACTCGCGCTCAAAACATCAAGGACAATCTCCAGAGAGACTTGTGGAACTCGACCTTTGAGCACTTCATCGACCGGTACCAAGTCAATAACGAGAACGTCACCTACTGGGACTTCATCCGCGGCCGTGAGCTTGCTGGTTTCGTTCCCTGGGCCCACGACCTGCTGGACGACGATGCCAAGTTTGGCGAGGCGTGGAAGCACGCGCTGAACTCCGAGGAGCTTGGTGGCCCCTTTGGCTTGCGCACCGTTGAGCCATCGTACGAATACTACATGCGCGTTTGGCGATACGAGGGTACACACACCGAGTGCCACTGGAACGGACCCTCCTGGCCATACCAGACAACTCAGGTCTTGACTTCTCTTGCCAACGTCCTTGACCACTACCCGAACACCGCGGTCCATGTTAGTGTTGGAGACTACACTCGTCTACTCAAGCAGTATGCCAACCAGCACTACAACAAGCACTATGACAACATCCTGGACATCGAAGAGAACTACGATCCTGATACCGGCGAACCGATTGTTGGTCTTGGGCGTTCGCACCACTACTTCCACTCTGGTTACGTTGATCTCATTGTCACCGGCTTTGTCGGCATTCGCCCCCGCGAGGACGACGTCCTTGAAGTCAACCCTCTAGCGGACCCCTCCACGGTCTCTTACTTCCGCGCGGATCGCATCCTGTACCATGGCCGTGAAGTTTCCGTTCAATGGGACGCGACCGGTGATCGCTACGGTGAAGCAGGTCTCCGCGTTGAAGTAGACGGAAACGTCGTCGCTTCCTCCGACAAGCTCGAGAGGCTCACCGCCGAGGTCACGCGCGCGCCCGTCTCCGTCGCGCGTCCCTTTGACCAAGCCGTCCAGCTTCAAGCCACCGAGCCCCTTCCCATCATCAACGCTTCCGTCCCCAACTACGACATCAACCGTGTCCACGATGTTTTCGATGGTCGCATCTGGTTCTGGACTCAGGACACCATCGCCAACGGCTTTGATACTCCCGAAGGTAGCATTGCCGAGGAATGGGTCAGCATCGAGTTTGGATCCGCTGTTGAGACTGCCCGTGCTGAGATCGCGTTCTTCGCGAATGGAGAGATGGGCTTCGACGTCCCCGCCAGCTACAAGTTGCAGGTTCTGAGCGGTGAATGGACTGATGTGGCTGATGCGACTTACGACGCGCCGTTGGCGAACGGTATTACTAACGCGAAGTGGACTGGAGTTTCCACCCAGTCTCTCCGCATTCTCGTGAAGCCTCAAGATGGCAAGCGCGTCCGTCTGGTCGAACTGAAGGTCTTCACTGAATAGAGCATTTTCCGTCATCAACACTCGCAAGCGAAAGGTCTAAGGAGCACGTAAAAGTAGATAATTGGACGCTAAGGCAGTACATGTTCTTAGTTCTAGTATATAATTAAAGATGATATCTTGGTGCCAGTAAGGTGCATTGCCATTGGCAACTTCTCAGTTTTCCCCTCCCGTGAATGAATGTAGGTCGAGAGGCTATCTACCACAGCCTATCACTCATGGATTGAAATTGCCGGTGGCAAGTCCAGTTACTTGAGCTTTTTGCTATGGGCCTTGGAACCTCCCTTGTCTGAATTCGTCGCCCGAGAGCGAGTTGTCCCCTCCGGAAGGGCACTGGGAACCCCGCCTGGGACCGTCGAATCTGGGGTATAATGAACCATTTAAGCAGCCGGATTCCAACTCTATCATTCGCTGCGCCAACATTGGAGGTTGCTGGACCCATATTCGCGAACATGAAACTTCAGCCGAACTATAAAAAGGCGTCCAGATGGGTCCGACTGGCGAACGACACTCGTCGCATTAATATCTGTAGGGCTGTGCCTCGCTCAACCGAGTCAGCCAACATTCGGTCTGCTCCGAGTTCGTCGGTATCCCCCCGGAAGGCCGCCCATAATGAAGGAATTAAGTAGCTTCGGTGCCGATTGGCGAATCTTACTTAAACCTCACCGTGTGCCTATTCCTCAATGTGATTGTCTCTAGCCCTGCTCTTTATTGTCGATTTCCAGCTTCGATTTCCGAAAGAAACACAATTGGTTCAGCAACATACAAGTAAACCACTTCCAAACAACCATGAAGACAACCTCTTTTTTTCTCATTGCCACCCTAGTCTCGAGCGGTCTCGCTTTGAGTATTCCCTTCAGACTGCCGTCGAGTCTCGAAAGTCGGACCGAAACACACAACGCCATCGCGCCAGAAGACATACTCAACCCCGTTGTTCGACCACGAGAGTGCGAAGAGCCAGCTGAACCCGAAGAACCGAGCGAGGCGGATAGGAAGAAGGGTGCCAAGAGACCGGCGAGGCCCTCGCGACCTGCAAACTGCTGAGCTCTGCTCTGGCACATCGGAATCATGATATTATCAAGGCTAGGATCAAGCCGAAACTATCGAGGGTTAAATGCAAGTCGCCGAAGACCGCTACTAGCATTCAAATTGTAATTAGTGGCTTTTCTTCCATAATACCAGTCCTCTCGACACCTTAAGTCATTTTTGAAACATTCTCTAGGTGTCAAGTAGTGACAGTTATTCATTCGATCTCACACTGATGTTTTCGTCAATCTGTCAACGGCATTGCACTTGCGATCCAAATAGCAGTATATATGGCCAAACGCATGTGCTCACTGGGTGGAGGTTGCTGGCGTTTCTATCCTATCAAGGTGTCTTCTGCAACGACTGAAGTGCATCAACCCGCCAAGCCGCGAAAGCGCACCTTGGTGTTTAGCAAAAGCCAAAATATGCAGGTGACGGGAGGTCACACCAATAGGGTGCTTGACTGTGACTTCATTCGCTCATGCCACAATCCTCCGGTTCAACTGTGCAGCCAACTCGCTGATCACGCCTCTTTTCCCGCCACACTAAGGACACATAAGGCCTAGGTTCTCTCCCCGCAGCCCATTCTTCCGATTGATTCCTCAATTGCCTCGGCCAGCGTCTGTCTCAACATTCAACCCTCTGCTTCGCCGCCTCCATCCGTTTTCAGTCGCCAATTGTACAACAACTTTTCAATTCGACGTCAACTTCATAAATATGGACAACAACGTCAAGCCTACGATGGAGTCAATCTCATCGCAAATGGACATTGATGGGAAAAGCCGGGAACAAATGATAGCCGAATCCGTCAAAAAGAACGAGGACGTCCAAAATATGTATCCTCAGGTTGATTTCAAGGGCGCCGTTCTTGAGCCTACCATTCATTTGACCTATGATATTCAGGTGATAATTTCAATTCACTCATAGCTCACGCCTTTTCTTCATTCCGAACCCGACAATGGCTTCCAGCATCAGCTGTCTTGTGAAGCTCGGATTGGTACTGATTGATTCTAGGAGCATGTCGACGAACCGAATCAAAGGAGGTACAACACGTTGATCGCCGAGATGCTCGAACGCACTGCAGAGCCGGATCTAGCTGAAAGATTACTTTGGGAAGCGAGGGAGTGTCTTACCGGCTACCCAGACATTTTGGCCCAGTTTGATGCGATATTTCTGGGCCAACGCTCTGCTTCAAGTGTTATAAGGGAACTACACGAATGTATGATGATGAAAAAGACGGTGGAAAGGAGGATGAGCCAACAGGTGAATGACGGGGAAAATGGAGATACTTCCCAATTATAAGACCTCGTTGCGGTCACCACCTACATGTACCAATTACCGCATTGAATATAGTCTGCAAGTGTGCCCGTATGAACTCGACACAAGAGGATGCCGTCGAGTAACTTCAAGCATCTTGTACACATTGAACAACCCCCAATCACGCCCTCTTCGGCAGCCGCGTAATTTTCCTAGCTGCTCGCAGCCTGGCCTAAATGCTGCCGAGCTAACTTGCGTGGAGAAGCACTCAAGGACTTGTTGGTATGACGACAGCCAAGGCCTATATATGAAGTATAAAGACAGTTGAGAAAGGAGGAACATGATATATTCCGGGCTGACAGCATGCTTCAAAGTTGACAAGAGATTGACTTGTCACTTATCAACAGTGCATACCTACTCTCAGTAGTAAGAGTAAGACCCCATGAGTGAGTGTGCAAACTTAAAGACCAAAGTTCCTCTTCATGCAGAATCAACACGAGCTGCGGAGAAATGTACCCTGGTGTATCGCATACGTTGCCCCGGCCCACTGTCAGCTTATTGCAACATCGCAACTGGGTCTTCACGTGGGTCTTTGACAACTGTCGCGATACTACTAGTGCACCAACTAAAGACATTTCACATCCAATTTGGGGTAACAGTTCCCGAAAAGGGTGGTAGCAAGTCTAGAGGACATCTCTGAAATAAAGACAACCACTCATACCTTACATTGGAGACCCTGCTCAACTCCTTCGTTCTGCCTTACACCTCATGATCGACGCTGCGATCTGCGAGCCAAGGAGAGTCTAGGCAATAAATCCTCCGCACGGGACGAGCCTTTCTGCAGTCAGAGTGTGCTCCATGATGTCTTCGGGCGAGGAAAGTCCCACTACTCTGCTTGTTTATGATATTTACAGGGCTTCCTGTGGCAATGAGGACTGACAGATCATCGTCAAGACTTAAGAAAGCAAGTTCAATGATACTGATTGTCGCAAGATCGCTGAGCCACGAGCAACCACGAGTTACCGAGTTGAGCCAAAGTTTTACGAAGATGCCCCTCAGAGTCCGAAGTAGGCGGTGATGCATCCTTACTGCGGCAAGATGCGATGCTGCGACTCGTTTTTGCTCTGTAGCAATGGCGGTGTACGTATGAGTTGAGAAAGCGCTTCCTTGGCTTGTATGGTAAACTCGGCGTCGTGACGAGCTTTATAAACTTAAGAGATCCCCAAGGCAATCCCATTGCATCACCATCCCTTATCATCATCTCAAAATACATTGATCTCCCAAACTATTCAAAATGAAGTTCACCGCCATCTTTGCCCTCACCTCAGCCCTCACTATGGTCGCCGCCACGCCCACTCCCGCTTCCATTCCCGAAACCACTCCCTCCAGTCATCCTCACCAATTGTTCAAGAGGCGGGAGTGTCCCAGCTACTACGCATCTAAGGGTGTATGTTCTTACCTATCCTGACGGTCATTGGCATACAGTACGATCTGCAAGTTGCTAACACGGTTCTGTTCTTAGAGTTGCAACGGCACCTCCTGTCGTTGGGGGTTGGTTAATTACAACTGTGATATTGGCTCATGTGTACGTTTCCATCTTTCGGCAACTAACACAATTCTTCATCTGGATACAATGAGATCCAAGCCTACTGTAGCATATGACTGACTCTGTGCAATATTAGGTTGGAAGTGGGGGCGGAGATGGCTCTTGTTGTGGATGGCCCAGCCAAGGGGGTGGCTCCCATTGCCCCAACGGCGGATGGTAAATGGTATCAGAGGAAATGAAACTTCTGTAGTGGGTAAAGAGCAGACATCAGAAACGACAATGAGATTAAACGAGACCCTTTAATGGTTCCAAGTCAAACCTTCTCCGGAAAATAATCAGCAGTGCGCGAATCACTCGCTCGAAGAGTCGTAGCAAGATGAAAGGCCTTAGGAAGCCGACATTAGCACTCGAAGTTTCTTACTTGCTGTCCCTGCCTGCTTGACCAATGCACTTTCAGCGCTCAAGAATGAGTTCACGATTGTAGAAAAATCTCAATATTCAACTCTTCGGACTTTGAAACAGTTGAAATCCCTTTTCGGATCCGCGATTCTCGAGACCTAGCAGACGCTTCAAACGTCTTTAAAAATCTCCATTCTCACATGTGCTCTTCTAGCTGTAGCAATGCGATGTTCCTCGTGACATTCAGACAATTCCTCCGAGGCTAATTCTCAGCCACCCCCCAGCTTATCAAGACGCCTAATCAGCCAAAGGCTACACCGGTTTCGTTTGGCTGCTGATAGTGGCGTGTCGCCCTTCGAATTAGATAGACTGAGATCTACTCTGTTCTTGATCAGATCAACAACCATATCTTATCGACGAAGAGAAATGGCTGAGAATAACGGTGAGTCGCCCCCATCCAGTCTGCCATTAGGGTCTGCTCCTTTCTCAAGAAGGAGCTCGAGCATTTTTCTGTCATGATTAAACGTAGCAAGGTGTAACGCTGTGTATCCGGCATCGTTTAATGCATTAATATCTGCCCGACTGTCAATGAGTAGCCTGAAAACGGGCTTGCAGTCATGTCTCTAAAGTTTAAGCGGCCTCTTGGGCAATCGGATGCTTATTACTTCAATATTTGCATCGTTATCATCGAGGAGTCGCGTGACCTCTCCATAGCCGAATGAGGAAGCAAGTTTGACTGCTGAGTCCCCTTGGTGGTTGCCAGGTTGGATATATGGTCCACCGCCAACAACAACCTTGGCGATCACCTGGTCGACTTTTAGGAGGGAAAGTTGTGTTGCCGCATCGCGGTCTCGATCCCTATCGTAGAAGTCGACAGACAGCTCGTAACGCCCAGTTGGTCCGGTGGAATGTCTTCCGCTAGTAGCAAAATATAGTGCTGTATTTCCGGATTAGCTCATAGACCTGACATCTGCACCATTGTCAATGATAACCTGTACAATCAGCTCATCGCCTTGTCTGCAAGCTTGGTATAATTTTGCATCGCCAAAATTGGATCTAACATCGACACGCGCTCCATTCTCAATGAGAAGCTTGACGATCGTGTGTAATGTACATTCCACTTTCGCTCTGGTCAAGCTTCGAGTAGAAGCTCGGTATGATGGTGTATGGCCATCTCCGTTTCTAGCATTAGCATCTGCTCCATGGTCGAAAAGAAGCTTTACAACTGCTTCATGGCCCTGCTGAGATGCTCGATGCAGTGGGTAAACTCCCTCTTTGTCAAATTCGTCGACCTTATCCCCAGCTTGTAGAAAAAGGGGGACCATACTGAGCTGAACATTTTGAGCAGCCCATGATAAGGGCGTTCGTTTGTTGAAGTCTCATAAGTTCTTTCTATGTTGCAAACCTTTCATTATGTTCAGTCCATTGTAAATAATGGATTGCGTTCTCAGGAGGGCAGCAACTGACTTGCCGTTCCCGTAGGCTAGCGCAGCGAACAGAGGATATTCGTACCTAGCTGCAGAACGACGTTGCAAATTCTCGCTTATATTTGCACGTATAAGCCCCGAGCAGTCCATTTCCGCAAAGATGTATATGAGGCTAGTTTCAGGTCTGTAGCGTCGTACTTTGTGCTTCTCAAAGTGGTTGTAAACGCCAATCCACTTCCCCAGCGGAAACTGGGCCAGAAATTGATCTTGACAAATGCCAGCGGCCGCGATGTCGGCATGGAAGAACAACTGCTGGCTTGCGTATATTTTTCCAGCCATAGCAGGGGTAGGAGCGATATGCAGGTGAGCCTACTCAATCACCATTGGGGTAAGGTAAGGCAGCATCGCCAACACGGTACGCCCTGCCGAGGTTGAAGAAGCGAGAAGATCAAGTTCAAGGCGAAAGGATGTGAGAATTGTAGAATTGATCCACTCAACTCACTGAACATTGGTCCCACCGTCTAACGCAATCGGCATCCCTATGTCGAAGGATCCCGTTCACAGCGAGAGTATGCCGAGAAAGGAAGGTCGTCAGCACCACCAACCAAACAGCTCCCCGCCACCATGCACGAGGAATCCTTTGTTCAAGATGGTGCGAATAGTACTTGAATGCTGGCGACTGCTGCCATTCGGGTTGGAGCTGTCTACTCTTCACTCCGCGAAACAACAGACACAGATCGTTGTATGCTCACGGAGGCGTCTCGATGGCGCATCGAGACGCATCAACACCGCAGAAATCGGCCTGGGAGAAGAATCGAGACTCGGACGAAGACGACGATGTGAATCTCATCCTCGAAACAACATCCCACGACCCTGAAGAAGCGTCGCAATCCCTCCTGTCCTCCCACGATGTCAAACCCTCCCACCCAGAACACCAGCAGCCTCAGCCAAACCGACGAAGCATCACAACAACCTACACCCGCTTGGCTCTCCTCCTCACCACGACCCTCCTCCTAGGCGCCGCTCTGTCGGCTCTCATAACAACCTTTCTCACAACCCACCTCCACACCCTCACCACATCTCACAGAAATGACAACACCCTCGCCTTCCCCACCGACTTCTCCTCCCGCCCAGTAACCTACCTCCAAACCGCCCCCTGTGGCTCAACACCAACTCAAGCCCGCGCCGCAGGCTGTCAATTCGACCTTATATCCTTCAACTGGCTCCCTCCCCAATGCCACGACGCTGCCCTCGCAGAGACCTTTGAAGCGGAACTCGTGGAAGCGGGACAACTCGCCTGGTTCACAGACGCGAACCGCACGGCGCCGTCGTTGACGAGGGCGCAGATTATGACGGGAGAGTATAGCGGCGTGTATGTCAGCTTGGGATACCATCTTCGGCATTGTACGGCCATGTGGAGGCGGATGCACCGCGCGTTGATGCAGAGTCGCGGTGAGGAGAGTGATGGAGGTGGTTTGGAGCGGGTTGATAGTTATATTTGGAGTTATCACCATACTTTACACTGCGAGGAAGTGTTGTTGAGGAGGTTTGGCGAGGTTGATGTGGGAGAAGTGTTCACGACGGAGGTGAGGATCAAGTATCCCGATTGCGGCGTCGTTTTGGGGCCCGTAGAATAACGTGTCCCGTCAATGGCGATATCGAGAGTTTTTGTGCTAGGAGGAGAATGCCAAAAGAATATCGAACTTCACTTCCTATCGTCCGTTGTCATCTTCGCCATCGTCTCCGGCCCCTCGCTCGCAATCCAACTCTGTAAACTCGCCTCCTTCTCAACCTTCCTCTCTTGCCTCGTCTTCAACCTCCAACTACCACCATCCACATTCTTCTTCTCACCACCCGGCGTCACCTTGGGCTTCGCAAGCAACTTTCTCGAAAACGGGATCCGCCAAATATGCGGTCCAACTTCCGTTCCCGTCACCCGGTTCGTCTCAATCACAGTCCTCAACCTCTTGGCCGCCTCCCAATTCGACGTCACCGTCGTCAACTTGGCCTTCCACCCGTACAAGAATGACGAGACATTCATGGCGTTCAACCCAGAACCCTTCTTCCCGACGGCAAGCGCGACAGCAGGGAGATCGCCGTCAACCACCATCCGCTGCGCATCATCCCACGAGACAGAGTCCACAATCTGTACAGGAAGACGTAGGTCCTCGGGCACAGGATGGACAGAAAGTTCCTGCAACTCCCTAACCCGCCTTGCTCGATCTCGATCACTCCCCTCAGGTTCAGCAACCTCACCCGGCTCAAACAAGATCCTCGTCCTCGCCTGCTCCTCGTCCGTCCCAATCTCCCCCACAATCTTGAGAAACGTATCCGCCGCCTCCCTCGTACAAACCAGCGTCCGGCCCGTGAGGGCAGGATACAGCGTATTCACCAACCGCGGCCCATTCTCCACCTCATCCGTCGCGTCGATCCGGTGCTGCTTCGACCGCAACAGCTCCGACTCGGGTCCAATCGCCATGTGACTGAAGTCCGACGCCAGCGCCATGAAGACAGAACAATCCACATTCACCGTCGTCGTGAAGTCCTTGTAATAATCCGCCTCCACAAGATTCGCAATCGCCTTTTCCAACGCTGGCGTAGCTTCCGTCAGGATCCCGGGGCCATTCGCAGTCTCGACGACGAGATCCACGTCCCCGCCGCCCATCTTCCTCACCAACCTCAACAAATGATCCACGGCCTCGTTCTCCCCCTCAGACACCCTCGACATGAGTATCCTCACCCTCGGCCGTCGATAGTCCTGATATGACGTCCTCGCAGCAGCAACCATATGTCGCGCAACCTTGGCAACCTCGATACTATCCTCCGTCTCATCCCTCAACACCTCCAACATGGCCTCATCCGCGCCCTCATCTTCAAAATCCTCCTCCCAATCCCATCCCGCGTCCGCCATCTCGTAAAAAAGCCGCCGCTCCGTCGTAGTAACAACCTTGACCCAGTCCGCGCCACCATTCACAACCAAATCAATCACGGCACTCACACTCTTCCCCCCAACAGTCTTGTAGCTCAACTCCCTCCTCATCCCCGTAAGCTCACAACACCTCTTCGTAACCTCCCACACCGTCTCATAAAACTTATAATTCGACGCATCAAGCCTCAGCCGGATCCGACTATCCAGCGCCTCAGTATCAATCTCCTCCTCCTCACCACCCTCACCCACATCATACGCCGCCACCATCTTCTCAAGGTGCTTCTTCTCAGACACAATAAGCCGCTCAAAGAAGCCTAACCCCGGGACAGCCTGGTTCCAAGCAACAGGCTTATGTCCCGACGCCGGCCGCCTCTCAATGGCAGCCTTGAGCTGCTCCAGCTCATCGAGCAGGACCGTGATGCGGTCGATAATGTACTGGCATTGCTGGAGCAGTGAAGTGCCGGGATCCGGTCCAAATTGCGGAAAGACTGTCATCGTTCTGCCCGGGTCCGGAGATATAGGTGGGCAGATTCCCGGTGATGGCGGGCGTAAATGCAAATTTCAACCCTGCGCGGGGTTAGCGATGTTCTTGGGATCATCGATGATGACTTACCTTGGCGCGCTTGAGAGAGTTCCCCTATGCCCACGTTTGACTCAGTTTTCCTGTGGTGTATAGAGGGTGGTCGAAATTTGGGGCCGAGACTGAGGTGTATGACGGACGTTGATGAATTTGGCACAGGGCCGGGCCCGTGAGCAGAACAGGCAGCCAAAGTGTGTGGGCCCGACGGTGGGGATCCGACGCGGGGCCGACAACCGGACCGCAAAACGAGGATGACCGCGAGGAAAAGAGACAGTTCTCACCAAAGCATTCCACAATGGACAGACAAGTTTGAGCGGTTGAATGGCGAGCAAGGCTTTGCGCCTCGGTCTTCGCATTGCATTAATATTCCCTCGCTGGCATCCAGCCAAGTCATGTTCATTAAGGCGCATAAGTCGCCATCCAATCCCATCATCCAATGTGCCCTTCATCCACTGTGGCATACAAGGCGAATCTCAGCGCCCATAATCCAATGCACCCTGACTGTCGCCTAATCAATGGCAGAAAAGGTATAATGCCTCGGTCCAATGCTTCCCTCCCAGATATAAACAACACTCTAGAAAACGGTACCGTCGCTATCGATCAAAATGGGCGGTTCTTTCGTGTTGGGTCTGCTAAACTCGGCCATCTCACGACCTCCCTGAGCGATTGTGTTAGTGATATGGTTCCCAGATCCCAATGGTTCGATGGAGCTTACCTTCCAGCTTCCGGCTTCGAGTATTTGGGCCAGAGTCAATTGATTGCCCTTTAGGTCGTTCTTCATATGCCTGTTGACCTCTACGCAGAGCCTATCCAGGAAGCCGACCGTAACACCACGCCATTCGACAATCACGTCGTCGCTAGGCTCGAACATTGGGGCAACTTCAACTGGCTTGACGTTTGTCCTTCTGCAGTACTCATCGTAGTGCTCGAGGCCTCTCTCGGTATCGTCTGCCTTTAGCGTAAGGACCCCCAAGTCGATAAACAAACCACCGTTGCGGTACTCGGGCAAGCCGGTGAGCAGTTCGACCCCGGCAAAGTGAATGCGCAGTAGTGATTGCATAGGCTGCATCAGACTGTAGCAGAGCCACTGCGTCAGCTTGTGGAACGGCAGAATAGACTCCCACGCCGCGGTCGAGTTCTGAGCAGAAGGCGGGAACGGTGAGAATTGCGACGTTGTCGGACTCTGCGGGGGTTGCGGCATTGATTGGCAAGGCCAAGCATCGCCAAGAGATAGGCCGTTGATCGAGGTCCGGGACGCTGGCCAGATGGGCATGAGGCCGTTCATGAGGAGGTTCCATAATGTCGGGAGAATCACGATCGGCATTGAAGAAGCTTGAGTCGAGGGATGCGATAGGAGGTAGTCTGAGGCGGGTCAGTTCAGCTCTGACAAATTGCCATAGCCGGCCTTGAGCGGCTGAAAACTTACCAACCATGTGACCTGGCCGGCCACTATCGCCAAAGTATTCCCTCTTTTCGGTCAGGGCATTCGCTAGCCGCTGGAGCAATTGTGTCCTGCCTTCGATGCCTGCCATTTCGTTGCCCGGTTTCGACTGCAAGCCAGCAGCTACCCTCTCCACTGTGAGGTTGCGCAGTCCCTCCTTGTCAACTTGAAACTTGTTTTTGCTGTCGCTGGAGAAAAGACCCTGGCAGTCTCTTAGTAGATGCGCGGGACTCCGAGTCTTCAATAAACTTACACTCTTGAACATTTCCAAGCTGGCGACGGCGATGCCTTCTGACCTGCGGTATATACGTCCGTTTTCGGTGCTCTTGTAACTCCACTTTGTGCCTGCACCAGCGTCCAGCAGCACACTCACGAGAAAAAGGTCAATCATGCGACGACACTTTTCGCTATTGTCGACATCCTCGGGGAATGTGGAAAGAAGCTGGGCAATGCGGTCGCGGCCGCCGACGCAGAAGTGCTGGTGTCTTCCGTGGCCAGGAATCGAATTGTACGGAGCGTCGTAGTCTCTCTACAGGGGGTTGCAAGGTCAGTATAGTGCTATTCGCTGACCCAGATAGCGTGGGGGTGGGAGGTGCCAGGACATGCAAACACCTGCAGAAGTGCTGAGAAGGCTGACTCGTACCTTGATGATCTGAGAAACGAATGTCACAACGTCCGGAAATTTGCGCATATCCACGTCAAAGTGCTTCAATTCATTGCGGATCGCCTTGTCCGTGACAATCTTGCTCCTTTCTCTGACCGCCCCCAAGCTCCTGAGATATCCCGCGGGGTCAAGTTGCGGGTCAGGAGGACGCGGCAGATCGACCTTGGGTATGGAGGTGGGCGAGAAGGGCGTCAAAGGCGTGCCGGGCGTTGTGCTCGTCCCGGAGGATCTGTTCATTGTGGTGCTGCGTGGCGGTGGTGACTTAATGCTGGATGCACCAGAGGCGATGCTCACGCTTGACGTGTTGATCGATGGCTTGCCCGAGGCTTTGGGGGCCTTTTCCTTGCGAGAAAAGAGGCCCATATTGGCTGAATAGAGGGCCGCCTGGTCGAGGGGTTCGTGAGATGACGGTTGGTGGGGTTTGGCCGGAAGGGGTTCAGGTGGTGCTGAATTGACCTCAACTCGGTTCAAGGCGAAGCTTCCGAGTGGCCAGCTGGTGGCTCGAACTTCGGACAGCTACAAGCTGTACTGTGGCGACACAGGCCTGTTGCGACGATCACCGTGGCACGCGTGGCGGGGGGGGCTTCGCTTCCGGGTTCGTCAGGTTAGTTGACAGGCGTGTTATGCTTCTTCGCTTCGCCAACGATGCTGAGAGGGCGAGAGAGAGATCGGAGGTGGACGACGATTCGAACCACCAGCAGCAGCAGCAGCAGCAGTAGGAACAGCAACAGTAGGAACAGCAACAGGAGCAGGGACAGAAGGGAGGGGAGACCAGAAGATGATAAGTTGAGGGTCTGCCACGCAAGTTTAATAGGGGGCGGTTTTCTGGACTTGCGGGGAACAATATCCAGCAGTCTGCTTCTGGAGCCGTGAGCAGCTGGTTGCGCACGAAATGTCCAGGCCCTCTCTTGTGCTGGGGGGGGCTTGTCTTGTCGTGCTTGTCGGGGGGGAGGGCTGCTCTGGGCTCAGGGACCGATTCCCTTATTGGTGTTAGAGTTCTGGCCGACGTCGATCTGGATCAGG